CAATATTGTTTATTACCTTTCCCTAAAGATGTACTGTTTCTTTGATAAATACTATGGTATTAAGAAATCATCTTCAATATAATATGCATTGCCTCTCCTCAATTAAATTAGCAAATCACCCTAGAGGAAAAGGTTGACTGTATTTGCTTTTTTCTGTAGTGCTGCATGATACAAAATCATAGTTAATTATTTTAATATAATTTCCATCCTGGGTGAGTCATTAATATAATTGGCTGACTCATATGATAGTTTTGAAAAAAGAAAAAAAAATAGAATCAATCATTCTTAATGGGAAAATAATGCTAGTTCATTTTCAAAATTTAGGTATTTTTTTAATTTATATTTTTGTTTAAAGTGGTGTGATTTGATTTTAATTTTTTAATTTTATTTTAGGAAGAATACCTAAACTATGGATAAATATGTCTGGGTTGAATATTTTATTGTTTATATATATATGTTGAATATTTTATTGTGTGTGTGTGTGTGTGTGTGTATATATATATATATATGTATGTATAATACACACACACACACAATTACTGTGGTATATTTTTGTTTTGAAAATGTGTGTCTAGTTCTATGGAGTACTGGCTATTTTAACTCCTAGATTCTAAAATGGTGGGGCAAGATCCCAGCTGATCAAGGGGCATGCCAATGACTTCAAGGCACACACACACACACACGCTCTAATTAAATCACAACCAATCTAAGGAATTGTTTGTGCATATAGGTGCATATATACTGTAGAATTAATGCAGTCTGGTGCCACTTTAACTGCTGTGGCACAATGTTGTGGAATCCTGGGAGTTGTAGTTTGGTGAGGCACCAGCACTCTTTGGCAGAGAACGCTCAAGACCTTGCCTAACCACAACTTCCATGATTTGATAGCATTGATCCATGGCAGTTAAAATAGCATTTTACCTTTCTTGCAACCCATTTGCTTTGTAGAAGTTTTGTTAGCGTTAATTGCTTCTTAAATATGTACTTTAACAATTAGAAATTTATTGTCGAAGGCTTTCATGGCCGGAATCACTAGGTTGCTGTGAGTTTTCCAGGCTGTATGGCCATGTTCCAGTAGCATTCTCTCCTGATGTTTTGCCCACATCTATGGCAGGCATCCTCAGAGATTGGGGGATCATAGATGTGGGCTAAACATACATAGTGTCTTACATTGTACATCTAGGATATACCTGGCTCCCTCTAGAGGGCAGACTTTCTCTTTCTAACATTGGAAATGCATTAATTAACACTTTGAAATACTGTATATACAGGGTCGTTTAAAAAGTCACAATGGTCATTCCGTATTTAATAACATTTTTATTTTTGGTTTGTAATCTACAGTACCATAGCATCATATGCAGTATTTGTAGGAAATAAAATTACATTATGTGTAAAACCTTCTCAAACTTTTTCCTCCAAAAAGTTATGAAACCATCATATACATTTTAGCCAACCCTACATATACTAAATGTACAACTGATTTGTTAATTTTGCTCTTTTAGCACTCCCAGCTTACTTAATTGAATCCATCCTTCTGGAATACTGTCTTCCTCTTTTCCTAGTGTCTTCGATTTTGCAAAGTACTATTGTCTTTTTTGATGAGTCACGTCTTCTCATGATATGTCCAAAGTACAACAATTCTCAGTTTAGGTATCCTGCTTTTTAGGGAGAGTTCAGGCTTTATTTGCTCTCGAACCCATTAATTTTTCTCTTTTTAAAAGCACTACACGGCATCAGCAGAATTATTTTCTAGCACCGTGTTTCAAATACATTGATTTTCTTCCTGTCCAAATTTCACAACTATACATAGAAATGAGAAATGATCCTAACTTTACTCTTCAGTGATCTATCTTGACACTTCATGATCTTGTCTACTTCTTTCATAGCTGCCCTTCCAAGTCCTAGTTGTTGGAGGTGGTAGATGTAAATAAATAAAAGCTTTACCACTGTTTATGAACCAAAATATACCCTGCAGTATAATAATGTGTCAGCCAGATTTGTGTAACAAGTAACAGTAACCTTACTTCAGTTCAAAAGATCAAATAGAGCAACAATATATACAACAGTCTCTCTGAATTCTTACAGAGAACAGAGGGAATAAACAGTCCTTTTAAACAGTCTTTAAAATGTGCTTCATGCCTTAGAAATGACCAGGCCTCAGAGAATTGGCAGCCATTTCCTTCCTGGCTGTTTCCAGTCAGCACTCTTGTCACTCTCCGAGGTTAAAGTGGCAGTTAAAACCGTTTCTCTCAGCAGCAAGCTAGAGCCAACCAGAATTTTGGCTCCTGGCATGCTCAGCCAATCAGCTGCTGACACATGCTTTTCCAGTCAACCCATAACATCATGGTGTCTTTTTACAAATCCCCACATTAGTCTCCTTTTGATTTCTTGATGGCAGTCTTCATTTCGATTAATAAATTAGAAAATCTTGAAACATGAAAGTAAAACATAGCCACCAAATTCAGTGGACTGCTTGACTCCCTCATCTCATCCTAGGCCCTTTCTACACTGCCATATAAAATCCAGATTATCTGGATTATATGGCAGTGTAGACTCATATAATCCAGTTCAAACCAGTTAATGTGGATTATCTGCATTGATAATCTGGATTATATGGCACTGTAGAAGGCGCCCTAGTTTACCTCTGCAACGTTACTTGAGCCACACACTTCAATTTACTCTGCCGCTGGTAAAGGTTCTCCAACAACAGATAACAATAATGCAGCCTGAAGATATATTATTTCTGCTTGATCATTTAGAGCATGCAAGGATTTGGTACTGAGAACCCTTGTGGAAAATAACAGAAGCACAATGCTGTATTTCCCTTCCAAAAGCACAGCATCCAGGACAACCAAATCTGGTTCTGAACCTTAACTGGAATGTATGCAGATTTTTTTCCTTACCACATTTTTTCTCAGGTTAAATAAAAAAGTAGTAGAATCTAATATTTGGCAGACTTTATCCCCTCAAAAAGAACTGCTTTGCAAATTTCATCTAGTTCTGCCAAAATTCTTATAGCCGTGAATTGTTTTTTCCCCATTATATTCAATGAAGAAGACATTCAAGTCTTAAGGGCCCTTCCAGACAGGCCCTATATCCCAGGACTTGATCCTAGGTTTTCTGTTTATCCCAGATTATCTGGCAGTGGGAACTCACATAATCCAGTTTAATGCAGAAAACCTGGGATCAGAACCTGGGATATAGGGCCTGTCTGGAAGGGCCCTTTGAAATAAGAAGTCGGCCTTTTATCTGTGTTCTGAAGTGTTGTGTGATCGGTCCGAATTGAAGTTGCTTCCAAGATGAAGATAAGTTCCCAAATCACACCTCCCACTAGGAACAACAATATCTGCAACCAGCCCCTATTCATTTATTTGTACCTTTAATATAGGATGAATGTGGGTGAGCCTGTTTGAACAGTTCCAAAACTAGGACCATCTTTTGTAAACATGCAAGTTCTTTTTCAGACCCATCTGAAAAACTGCATTGCATATAATGCAGCTTGAACATCATTGGATTGGATTATATGAGTCAACACTGCCATATAATCCACTTCAAAGCAGATAATCTGGATTTTATATGGTAGTTTAGAAGGGGCCTAAGAGACCAGGGCACGGCTGGCGGGGACTTCTTGGTGGTGGCTCCTTGGCTGTGGAACGCCCTTCCCACGAACATTAGACTAGCACCATCTCTAATGGTATTCCGCAAAAAAGTGAAGACCTGGCTGTTTGTGCAGGCATTCGAATAACTAGTGCAATGATTGGTAATGAACATAGGAATGGAACAATGGATGACGAATCTGGATTATGGTTTTGATGATGAGACGATAGTGATTGGTTACTGTAGTAATTGTCTAATTTATGTAATGTGTTAAGTTGTTAACTGTTTTTATACTGTTGCATTGAATTTTTGCTGCTCTTATTGGTTGTGAATCGCTGTGAGTCGCCTTCGGACTGAGAACAGCGGTATATAAGTAAAGTAAAGTAAATAATAAATTAATATGAAAGAAACCTGCTGCTGTGATATTGTATGTTATCTGTCGATAGCATTTTCTATGTTGATTCTTGCTGAAAGCCACAAAACAATGTGATCACAGGATTGACTGAATACCATGACTCGGTTTCCCTAGGTTATAGTCCCAGGAGATCCATGACACTACGTATGTACAACAGATCAACTTCTATTATACTGTACAATTCAGTAATACAAATGTTGATTTGTCTACATAACAGTGAATATTTGGAAATGTAAGAAGACCTGGTGATAGGTTTTCCTTAGGGTTGTCAATGACTCGAGGCACCCAACAACGAACGGTAAAGAAGTGTCTTAGCCCTGAAAATGTGGACATCTTTCTATTAGGGACCAACAGTTGTGTATGTTTGTAAGTGAAGCAATGCATTTAAAAACACATTGATGACACAATGTAAGAACTCTTCTGATGCATACACATTGGAGCACATTATTCATTGTGTTTTCAAAATAAAGCTTTCCAGGAAGTACTTTGTGGACAGTCTAGTTAGGAAACATTCCATAGCTCATAGATTTGGTCCATTTGGCTGCAGCATCAAATGGTAAAAATATACCATATAAGTGCTGGATAATTGCTAAGTTATTTTTAATTGCATCAGATAGGCTCTGCACATGTTACTCGCTCAATTGGCAGACACACTTTCCATGAGTGCAGTGCTTATTGTTCAGGGAAGGTTTTCCAGATCCAGCCATAGTTCTTTATTTTTCCAATGCACATAATCCTTCTTGCAACACATAACCAGCGCTAACTTACTTCCAAGCCAAGAAATGTATGCTAGAAAGGAAACATATGGCAGAGTATTTCATGGCTGTCTAATTAGCTAAATGGACTTTATAACTGAAAAATTGGCAGTGGACTTAGTGAGTGCGTATGTGTGGAGGGGGAAATATGAAATTAGGTCAATGGTCTTATTGCAGCATTAGTAAAACTTTGAAATTGCTGTAATTTGTTTTTCTTCTTCATCATCTTGCAGGAGCCTAGACCTTTATATAATAAGAGATGCCAGTATTACTCAAGTGGAGTAGGATTCCTATATGATGCCTACCAGACAGAGGTAAACTCATGTTATTTACTCAGTCTGCAGATGATGAATGGAAAGGCTCTTTACAAGGTGACCAGTAGCAGACATGCTTCCCTGCTGTGTCCCTGGGAGATTCATGTTCCAAACCTAGAGCACACACACAGCCTAGAAATTTTATTTGTAGCAGGCATATTTGCTTTGGAGACAAAACTATTCTCGTTTCATTCTTGTTGCGTAATGGTCCTTGGAATTAGGTGAAACTATTTTTTAATGAGCATGTTTTTATTGAGTAGCATATTGTCATATGTACGCAGGCTATGTTAATTCTGGTTTACTTTGCTCTCCCCTGCCCCATCCCTGTCCCAACCAAAACTCTCCATTGTAATGAATTGACATAGTCCAAGAATGTCTGTATTTTGTATTCAGACTCTTGTTGTTGTTCTGGAGCCAAGATCAGGAGTCGTCATGTGCAAAGGGAGTTCTGATTGAAATCTCATACTGAAGAAATATTTTTGTTCTTTTTATTGTATGCTTTTCCTGATTGCTAACCTGTATCCTGTTTTTGTCCATTACTGCTTTATAGTCACTGTCCCTACCTTTTCCAATCCCTGGCTATTGTCCAATACAGATTTTATTTGTGTAAATTGTTCTGCACCTATGGGCTCCCAGTTTTCTACTTTGCCATATTTTGTGGACCCTCCTGGAATATTTTAGGCCAAAGAGAAGCCCTTTTGAACAACAGGAAGCTATTTTTAAAGTGTCTTCTGAAGTCTGTTCTACATTGCCATATAACCCAGATTATCAAAGCAGATAATCCACATTATCTGCTTTGGGCTGGATTATATATGTCCACACAGTCAGATAATCTAGTACAAATCTGATAATCTGGATTTTATATGGTGGTTTAGAAGCGACCTGAGTCTCACCCTGTACATCCCTAAAATGTATTTTAGTGCCAAATTTATTTTGTGGGGGAAAAATGCAAACATATTATTTTACCCAGAATGCGGCCAGGAGGCCCCCCCCCCCACAAAATGTAGAAATGTCATCACCCCCCCCCCCTTCATTTAATCTTAAAGGCCAGAAAATACAGTAGCTACTGTTAATCCAGAGCAAAATAGATACAATCATAGAGTTTGCATGTGAACTAGTGTTCAAAATGTCTACTAGCCAGAGTAAAGCTCTTTTTGTATTTCCTTTTCCTTCAGGTGACGTGTTACACCTTAAACAGCAAGTGTCTGCTGAAAGTGAGGAGTAACACATGCTACTGTTGTGATTTGTACAACTGTGAAAAGTAAGTATCTATGATCTGTTGGTTGGGAAGTTCCTTCTGGCTTAAGGGTTTGTTTACACCAGCAAAATAAATCAGGTGCAATTCACATTATTTTTCCATAGTCCTGTTTTTTCAGGGGTGAAGGCCATGATATGTTGACTCTTATCACTGATCCAGATAGACGCACTAGAAAAACAACATTTCCCCCTGAAAACTGTGAAACAAAATGTGAGTTTTTTAAAAATGCATCATAAAATGCATTAACAGTGAAAGCAAATACACACACACTTTTACGGTAAGAATGGCTATAAACCAGAATTGGAAAAGAGTGGGGAGTACGGATCTTTTTTTCTGAAATAGTCAGCTTCTAAGATTAGCTTCTTCTCCTACTAAAGGAAAACAGTCTAATGCAATCCTAGGAATGTGACAAACCCAAAGTCTTGCAAAGAGGCTATTACCAGGGAAAGTCTTCCCTCAGCAGTTATAAAGTGGGAAGAGGAGGAGTCTTCCTACTCACAGTGCATATTCATATACCAAGCAAGTATTTATAATGTTCTTCATGAACTGGGATCAAGAACAACACTTCCCAGGAGTATTAGCTGGCTCTCTAATACATATCTAGTGGTAGTGAGCCAGTCTAATACACCCGTTTGGCACTTTCTATTGCAATTCACATGTTTTTAATGACAGCCACAAGCATTGACTTCATTATTCTTTTTTGCTTGCTCTGCATGCTTTCATTCAAAAACATCTTCCCCCACAGATGTGCATGCCAGCTCTAGTACCAGAAATGTCATGTTCTGTAACAGATCAAAAAAGGAGGCATGGGGTGGGAAAGCCAGATGAAAAGTAGCATTGTGAATTTTGTTGTCAAAGAAAAATTGATCACTTTAACTTTCCAGTAAACTCTTGGCTTCACATTCAACCCAGATTTTGTGCACACTCTTGTCATTGCTTATTTGGGCTACTGCTCAAGCTGTTAAAAGTTTTGGGGAAAAAGATTGGCTGACTTTCTATGTTACACTTATGGGTTTCTATCCTAGAGTTATGGATTCATAACATTTCTGTATTGATTCTTATAAATATAAGTGAGTTTCTGTGAGTTTTCTGGGCTGTATAGCCATGTTCTAGAAGCATGCTACAGCCCAGAAAATTCACAGCAACTCAGTGATTCTGGCTATGAAAGCCTTTGACAATACACACATATATATTATAGCCCACCTTAACAGCCAGCAGCTGCACCAGGTGAAGGGCATCTGTTCAACTGTGGATCAGGAAACAAAGAGTCATTTCTAGCTCCCTCCCACCAAAAAGAGTCTTTCTCACTGGAGTGGTGCTGCAAGCTTCCTACTTCTTGTATCCAAATTGCCAGATGTGGCTAATGGTTGTTAAGGTGTTGTTGTGTGGGATAACAGGTAAAGAGACATTGGTTATGTATATATTGAATATCAAAGAGAATTTTATATTCTGATTTTGAAATTCTAGCTCATTCTCTCTGATCAGCAGTAAATAGCAGACTCCACAATGCTGGAACATAGGAATTGAAACTCCACCAACCATTACACCTAAACTCCATGTTGCATATATTGACTCTGATCCTGTATGGTTCAGTATACCATAGTAGTTCTGCATACAGATACTATATTGAGGTATATACCTCTCTCTGGATTTAGTATACAGTCTCACATGGCCTTTCTGTGCCTTTTGTAGACCGGTTAGAAGATCACAGACACATTTAGCAATGTCATTATAGATACAAATAATTACTTCAGCACTGAGGTCTGCTGGAGTCCTCTTGAGGTCTTAGCACTGTTGTAATAATTTCGCATCTGGCTACATGAAATAGCTAGATGCTTTTCTGATCCTGTCCGCTCACTGCAAGGCACTGAGCAGGCATTTGGCTTCAGGAGGAGGGAGGGCTTTGGTCATTGCATTGGGTAGAATACCATATGAATTTGCTGCTGATGCCAATCCCTCTGTCTCACCAGCTCAGAGCATGCAACCAGCTACTATGAGTTCCTTGGTGTGAATAGCTGTCAGGATGTGGTTCACTTGTATCGTCTGCTCTGGTCTTCTACTGTCTTGAACATCATTGGATTGTTTCTTGGCATAGTCACAGCAGCCATACTTGGGGCGTTTAAAGATGTGGTAAGTCTTGCAGTCCTTGTGGCATTTCATTCTGAAGGGATTTTTCAATGTAGCATGACAGTGTTTTCTTTCCAATTCATATTGGGCCCTCAAGACCAGGGATAGCCAAATCAGTAACCCATGGGCCTGTATCAGTCTGCAATCCATTCTAATCTGAGATGCTGTGAGTGACACCAGGACTGTCTTTGAGTTGGGAAGTTATCATTAGTTCTGCCTATTTATAGGTTCTTCCCTGCACATTACCTTTCCATCCATCGCCACAGAAAAAAACTTAAATATGAGGACTCTTAACAAGCACAATACAGGCAGTCCCCAAGTTACAAACATCCAACTTACACCCAACTCATAGTTAAGAATAGGGCTGAGATAACAAAGTGAGAGAAGGAACATTCACTCCTGGAAGAATTATCATGGGGAAAAGGTGTCTCCACTGAAGCTTTATCACAAATCCTTGTTTCCACAACAAGCCATTTTTTTCAAAACCCAGCTATCACAGGGACAGGTAGTGAGGTGAAATCTACCAAAGAGGGGCACCAAACAGGAAAGCAAACATTACAGGGGTGTCAACTCTTCCCTATTTGGCTGGAGTTACACTTAAAAATGTATCCGTTCTGACCTACATACCTACATACCTACAGAACCTATCTTGTTTGTAAATTGAGGACTGCATGTATAAGTTCCTCCTTATGCAGCTTACTTCCAAAGATGTCTACATAGAATAGATTGCATGTAGTCTATATTATTCCTGAGAGAACTCAACAATAATCATTGTCTTAGTATTTCTTGCTACCAACCACTTGATGGTCAGAACTTGCTTTATAATTTCAGGGAGAAGGAGTAATTAATTCTGAGGATTGGGGGTTCAAGCCCTTTGGTATTCCCTTATTCTGGGGACCACAGTACCAATCCCTGGTAACCCTGGAAAAAAAATCAATTGCTGGTCCCTGACATCGGATAGCTTAAGAATTCTTGGTTTGAAGACTAGGGTTTAGATCAGGCATTGGCAAACTTTGACCTTCCAGTTGTTTTGGACTTCAACTCCCACAATTCCTAACAGCTGGTAGGCTGTTAGGAATGGTGGGAGTTGAAGTCCAAAACACCTGGAAGTTTTGCCATGCCTAGTTTAGATGCATAGGGAAGGAGGTACAGCTCAGCCTGAAAAAACAGCTGTATCTTTAATTTGTAAAATACGATTTTATGCAAACTGTGACCATCACTTATCATTGACTGGTTCTCTTGCTTACTTCCCAATGTGACCTGCCTATTCATTCACTAGCCCACTGAAACTGCATGTACATATAGGTGGTCCTTAAGATGTAGCCTGATAATTCAATCTGAAACTTTGCTTTTTTGCATCTCCAACATGCTATTTCCCACTGGTAGACAGTAGAGGCCAGAGGTTTGAGATGGAAAGAAACAGGAGTTCCAGGAAAGGAGGATATGTCACAACAGCGGTCTCCCAGTGCTATCCCATGGACAGTTCCTATTGATCTACTAATTGGGTCAATGAGGAATAGAGCTGTTCCTGGCACAATCTGGCTTCCACTACACAGCCTGGGAAAAGCTAGAGGTATTAGATGTCTCCTTTCTACTTACGCTGGCACAATCTATGATTGCACGAGCTGAAGTCACTGGGAAGATTCTAACCCATGTTTCCCAAGAATCATTTATAAACATGTGAGATAGTATGTTCAGAGGAAAGAGGAAACCTTGTATCTCGATTTGATATTCAAAGTATATATCATGCATCTAGAAGATACAAAAACAAAGATGAAAGTAGACAATAAAAATGATTGTTCCACTATTTGCCACTGGATTCATTTTGCGATAGCATTGTAGATGATTGGTCCTATTACTGATAGGAACGTTAATATCGATGTTAGGATGTGAAAATATGTAAAACGAATTCACCTCTTGTGCTCCACAGGTACCTGTTCCCCATGTTACCTTCAACTCTGCTCCACTGCCACAGATTCTTTACAATCCTGCTCAGCAGATTTTGACATATGCTGGATTTTGTCCTTCTGCAGCAGCTGTTCCTCATTATTCCTCCTATCACTTACCCCTTCAGGTAGAGCACAGAAGGACTTCGGCTGTGTTTCTTTGTACTAACTTGCCAGCTAGTCTTCTATACAGCTTTCCAGGATTCTGTTTTTAATAAGGGGACTTTGTATATGTAAACATGTGGCTTTTCAGATCTGGAGCCAAAGGTTAATATTGATGGTGTCTCTTTTCAAAATAGTTTTCTGGTCCATATGACATACATTTTAAATTGAACATGAAAAGCTTATTTGTGCCTGCAAATGCAACAATTCATTTAGACTATCTCATTCAATTCATTCATTTAAACTTTTTAATCTGGAGGAAACCTTGAAATAATTTTCAGGTCTCATGAAAATAATCAATCCAGGATAAAAATTATCCTGGATTGATTATTTAGTTAAAGATATTAACTAAATAATGTCTCATGCCCTGGTCTCCTCCAGAACCCGCTTAAGATACAACTGCTGGATCCAGCAAAGGAGCTCTCTTCAGCTGGAGACTGGGGCGCAAGATGAATTACATTTCCAAAACCTTCCTTCCAGTAAGTAAGGTTGTGAAAGACCTGTGAAAGGGGTCCTCGTACTATTTGTCACAACCTCACACACTAATAGCTGGGTGGTGGAAACCTTACACTACAATCTCCAGTCAGAATGGACCTCCTTCACCTAATCCAGCAGCTGTTTCCTAAGGTGGTCTGGTTTAGTATTATGTAGGTTCATTACTGAAAACAGATACGTTTCAAGACCACAACTTAAGGTTGCAGATGCATAACTTAAGGTTGCAGATGCATTACCAATCAAAATGTACAGCAATGGTTCCCAACCTGCAGTTCATGGACTACCAGTGGTCTGCAAGAACTAAAATATGGTCCACGGCCTCACCATTAGTACACAGTTGCAACAAAAATGACTGATCTTGCAAAACCCTATTACAGTGCCAAGGCTTATTAAATATGGTTTTCTGTGGGTGAGCATATGGCAACTACTGGATGGCATATATTCTGTATCAGAAACTAGAGCTGATGTGGTCTATCCAATGCAATTTTCTGAATCAGCACCCCAGATAACCAAACAGAATCTAAAGTTGAGCAAAAACGGATTCGTAATCCTTTTGGTACTAATGTTGAAGAGTGGTTCCTGGTCAAAAAAAGATTGGGAACCACTGATGTATAGCTTAAACAATATCCCCCCCCCCCTCGAGTCAGTATCTCCTGCAGAACCCTAGAGTTCTAGAGAACTCTGTTTGTGAAATCCTGAACTAAGCTGTTTATTTTTATTACAATATAACACACATATGGGGAGTACAATGTGCTTAGTACAAGACCCAGAATCAAGATTGTACAATTGGAATCAATCCTGGAAGAGGGAGAAATTGAAAGCTCATATATATATGTATTCAAGCAAGTACAGGTTGGTGTGATATTTAAATTCCGTTTATTACGTATGCCTGTGTGTTTAATGTTACTTTTGAGTTCTGTTTGTGACTAATATGTGAAACCCCTTTTCTTTGTCTCACTACAGCCTACCAGCAATTTCCCAACATCCTCATCTACTGATATATCCTTATCTGATGACACCCAGCCTCCATCGCAAACAAGCTCTTCTTATGGCCTTCCTCCCAATGCCCCTCCATTGTACACACCTGCCTATTTCCTGTCAGGTGAAAAGCCTCCACCATACATCCCCTAGCTATGAGATTGTCAAGAGATAATAAGTTTAAAAGAAAAAGACCCCTGTTAAAAAATCTGTGCTATCCAGGTGAGCTGACTTTCAAAAATCTAATTTTTTTGGCATAGTATCTCTCTACTTTAATTCAAAATAATGGTTAACAGGAAAACGTAACTGCTAGTGGAGTCCATCAAATATTGCATAGTGTCAGTTATCATTTCAGCAATTATGCTCCCAGACCACAATCTGAACACATGCAAACCAAAAGGAAAAAAATCCAGCAGGCTTTGCACGACGACACTAGGAAGGCAATGGCTACATTCAGATGTATCAAAAATAGTGGTATATCAATATTGCAACTACTCTTCACTTTTCCTCTTGACATTTCATTGAATGAAATTTTGAAGATGTCTTGGTTCAAGCAAGAATGTCTTTCAACCCAAGGATTGGACTGAATTCCAGATAAGGTTGGGAGTTGTTTTTTTGGGGGGTGGGGGTGAGGGGAAGATCTGCATTCTAGTAGTGAGTAAAGCCAAAGGCAAAATGGTCTCACCTAAAATACCAGGTACATTTCAGTTGAAAGCTCCCCATGGGGAGATGGGGCGGGGAATACATTTTGATTGATATATTGGTTGATTGAAAGCTTTTACTGCCAAAACCAAGCATTTCAGTCTTTCAAAATGGGGCAGTGGTGAGGAAGTGAAGGGATGGAAAAGCAGGGAAACCATTCAATAATGCTGTCATGCTGCCATCTGGGGAAACTTACAGAACCAGATCAGATCACAGGATGTCCAACTTCAGTTCCCAAGTATGCGGTTCCCCATTTCTGCAGATCATACTTAAGAGTGACTTCATTTTGCCTGAGATCAGGCATAATGCTCATCCGTGGGGTGGAGTGGGGAGTACAGTAGACATGTATGACCCTGAGGCTGCAGATTACATTTTGCAAAAAAAATAAGAAGGTTTCAGGTCCATCTTCACCCCTGTGTTCCAGATTCGATCATCCCTTGCTATATTGCCAATTTCATTCATTTAAACTTTAAATGAATTTCATTCATTTAAACACATCCCTTGCTATATTCATTCATTTAAACACATCCCTTGCTATATTGCCAATTTCATTTTTTTTCACTTACAGTTGCAGGAGGGAAAATGTTAATGTTGGAACAAAGCTTTTGTTCCTTGTGCACCCTGTTGTACAATAAAATTTCCTTTTGTTGATTTTTTTTTTTAGTTTTCACACTATTACACTTGTAGGTTAACATATGAGGCCCTTGACCAGAATTTTGCCCATCCCCTCCTGGTAATAAACCCAGTTAAATATTATATCCACGTGCATCCATTGACTGTGGCCACTGGTTTGTGGCAAACACTAATGTACATTAGCACCTGTATGATATGAAGGGCAGGAATGTCCAGTTCCCACAAGAAAGGCTAGTCAATATGATGTATATCTAAACTTCATATTCAGTTCATTTGGTCAGTAAAATAAGCTACTCCATCTGTGGAATCAGGGTACTGGGATGTTTAGGGACAATCTACACTGACCAATTAATCCAGTTTGAAGGCAGCTTGATAGTGTGGTGTTTAGATGAAACATTTCACGAATGAGCACATCAATGTACATTAAGAGCTTTGAATTGGGATAAGCAAGGTTGGGATGCTCTAAAATACAACCCATAAAGCATATCAGTGCACTTGAGTGTAAACAACATTGCATGGTGAAACCGATTAAGTGACAGGCATTCCAGCGATCCTCACATCTAAATTGGGGTGGGGAAGTTTTAAAAAAACAAACACCTGAGTTCTCCATAGCCATGGAGCTGTGAATACTGTTGATCCTGGAACTGGTTCGAGGCTAGCTTCTGTGTTGCATATAACCACCATCCCGGCCTCAAACTGATTCCAGGACTTTATATGGACTCATCAACATACAGAAATCGCTTCCTTCTCTACTGGTTTCATACTGACCTAAGTGGTCAATGTAAGTGTCCCTTTAATTTCACTTTCTTAGATATAACAGGCAGTTGGGTATTTTCCTTCCTGTTATGAACTTACATTGTGATGTACTTACAAATAACCAGCTTAGTGAGGCGAAGAAGCTTTTCTTCTTAGTATTCATTTAATATCTTCTTTTGGGTGAAGATATCTTCCAAAAGAGTGTGACAATTATTTTACAATAAAATATACTGTGTGCAATATATGTAATCATATTTTTGGTCCATGCAAGTTGCAGAAAAGAGAGACAGGAAAATCCTGGTTTACTATTAAAAAAACCCATTCCCACAGGATAAGTATTGAAGGATTGGAGTATTTAAAGAGAGAGTCTGATTTAGTCTCTTGTCTGAATGGTTTGTGCTGTATTGTACTCAATGCTACTGAAAATAAAGCTATCTTTTCCATATGCTACTAATTCAACCAGTCTTACAGTGATTAATGATGGTACATTGTAAGGGGGCTCTGTTAATATTTCTAATACGAATCAGAGAGAGGTGGTGTGTAGGATAGAGTCCTTTGAATGAGGTTCATAATGGAAAAGCACAGTGACTTTTGTTTCAGCATCTACTCCAAAGGAAACTGGTTTGAGCCCTCAAGCTCTGACTGTCTCTAGTTCAGTGGTTCTCAACCTGGGTCCCCAGATGTTTTTGGCCTACAACTCCCAGAAATCTCAGCCAGTTTATCAGCTGTTAGGATTTCTGGGAGTTGTAGGCCAAAAACATCTGGAGACCCAAGTTGAGAACCATTGCTGTAGTTTAAAGTGTTGGTGGGCTTAAAGCCAACTTCAAAAACTGTGGCATAGACACCAAGAACTGGGAAGCCCTGGCTCTTGAGCACTCTAAACGGAGGTCAGCAGTGACCAGCAGTGCTGCAGAATTCAAAGAGGCATGAATGGAGGGAGAAATGTGCCAAGAGGAAGGCACGTTAAGCTAATCCTGACCAGGACCGCCTTCCATCTGGAAACTGATGTCCTCACTGTGGGAGAACATGTGGATCAAGAATAAGGCTCCATAGCCACCTATGGACACACCGCCAAGACACCACATCTGGAAGACAATCACCCTCGAGCTACAAGGGATCGCCTAAGTTGGTAGTGCAGAAGCTGAAGACAAAGAGTCCTAGAAACAGAAGGAAACAGTGAAGATTAGAAAATAATCGGGAAATAAGAATTGTTGGGAATCATGTGTTGCTCAGCGTTGCTGGACTGCAAGCTCAACAGCCCTAGCCAAAAGAGCTGAACATGAGAAATGATGGCAATCGCCCATACAATTCCCACCTCTGGTATATGCAAAGGTGACAGGAAAACATATAGCGGAACAGAAAACAACTGTGCTGGATCACACTAAAGATCCATCCAGTTTAACTAAAGCAGGAAAAATTATATTAGTTAGCTTTATGTAGCGAGTGAGTATGGCATGGTGGTTAGAGTGTTGGACTAGGACTCTGGGAGACCACTCTAAATTCCCACTTAGAGTGGTCTTCCACCGGGTGAGCTTGGAGAAGTCATTGTCTCCCAGCCTGATAGGAAGGCAGGAACAATCTCCTTCTGAACAAACCATGCCAATAAAACCTTGTGAGAAATTATTTGAAGGCAAACAGCAACAGCAACAAACCTTTATATAAGGTGTACGAAAAACGAGAAACAGAAAGCAAGAGGCACATACAGCCTGTTCCCAAGTTACAAACAATATAGGTTATTTAGGTTTGTTATTAAGTTGCATTTGTATATAAGTCAGAACAAGTACTTTTTCTATAATCAGATGTTTGTAACTCGGGGACTGCTTGTATTTGTGTCTGAATTGCTGGGATTATGTGTCAGGCTTGAAGAATAAATTTACAAAGATCCAATTTATTTACTTATTTACTATATTTCTATCCTCTTCTCACCCTGAAGGGGACTCAGAGCGGCTTACAGTTTGGTAAAATTCAATGCCGCATACAACTCCTAGTTAAGAACTGGAGTGAGACCACAGGAAGTGTGAGAAACCTATCCCTCGAAAGGGAAATTCACTCTTGAAAGAGTTATCATGAGGAAAGGTATCTCAACTGAAGCTTTCTCACCAATCCTTCTTTGCACAACAAGCCATTCCCCCCCCCCCCAATCCAATTATCCCAGGGAAAGAAAGTGAAAACTTCTGAACAGGTCTATAGACAGCAAAACAAATGCCACATGAGTGTTAATCCTTCCTTACACTATCCAAATCTTCTCTCTCTCTCTCTCCCCCCCCCCCCCCCCCCCCATATATCAGTGGTTCTCAACCTGTGGATCCCTACATGTTTTGGTCTTCAACTCCCAGAAATCCTAACAGCTGGTAAAATGGCTGGGAGTTTTGGGAGTTGTAGGCTAAAACACTGCTCTATATATGTATGGCTGGAGTCACCCTTAAAAATGTACCTGTTCCGACTTACAAATTCACCTTAAGAACAAATCTACAAAACCTATCTTGTTTGTAACTTTGGGACGGACTGCCTGTATAGCTATGATACAAAATTGCAAAGAAATTTGCCAGTGTCCCCTATGCTACAATTTTCATATTCCAATATAATATACGTACGTGATACATTTTATATCACAATTACCTCATTCGGATTGTTTTGCTTTGTTTCTGCCTTGTTTTCAGTAACTGTCACATTTTAAAAGCTATTTTTCCCCTGTAGATTAGTTTGCAGTGAATCTAAAACAGGATTGGAATCATGCCATCCTTCAGACATTGCTGAACAGCAACTCCTGGCATTCCTTACCACTTGCTTTCTGAAGGGCCATATGATTCCTACCCTTGCCATGAATGAACTGCGGTGTAGGGGGTATTTTACATAATTGAGACCGGTGTTTCCTGAGCTATCTGATGTAGGAGGCCATCAATCCCCTATTCCCCATCTCGTGTCAGGAACTGATATTATAGTTGTCTTGCATAGCTTCCTAGAAATTCACCACAAACTGGCAGCTGATGCCCTAGGGGCTGGCACCAGTCCAAAAACAAGCACTTTGGAGTAGCACTGCTCTAGAATATATAATTAACAACAAAGAGAAAACAATTAGTTTGAAATAAATTCACTGTTAGAAGCAAGCAAGATTATAACACATATTATATTTAAAAAATCATTTGTGAATCACCTTATGATGGGGAGGTAATTGAATAATTCAGGGCCAGCAAATATTTGACTAATACTGGAGAGATAAACTTACAATGCAATAACTCCGTTTCCTTTCCATATCTTCATATAATCTTAAAATCAGTTGCAATAAACAGCTACTGAAGCAAACAGATGCATTGCTATAAATCAAAGGTTGGTTGCGCAAATCCAGGGGAGGGGTGAGCTCCGCTGTTAGCCCCAGCTTCTGCCAACTTAGCAGTTTGACAACATGGAAATGTGAGTAGACTAATAGGTACCGCTCCTGCAGGAAGGTAACAGTGCTCTATGCAGTCATGCTGGCCACATGACTGTGGAGATGTCTATGGACAACGCCGGCTCTTTGGCTTAGAAATTGAGATGAGCACCAACCTCCAGCCAGACATGACTAGATAATCTCAGTGGTAACCTTTACCTTTACTTAATCTCAGTGTGACACTCATTGCTAACAGTCTATCTGCACATTCTCCAAGGAAACCAGACTAGCCTCATAATAAAGATTATGCTCAATATATGTAAATAAGCTTTTCCCCTGACATTAAGTCCAGCCGTGGCTGACACTGGAGGTTAATGCTCATCTCCATTTCTAAGCCGAAGAGCCGGCGTTGTCCATAGACAGCTCTGCGGTCATGTGGCCGGCATCACTGCATGGAGCACCATTAACTTCCCACAGAAGCAATACCTATTGATCTACTCACATTTGTGTGTTTTCAAAATGCTAGGTTGGCAGAAGTTGGGGCTAATAGCGGGAGCTCACTCCACTCCCTGGATTTGAACCTGCTACCTTTTGGTCAACAAGTTCAGCAGCTCAGTGCTTTAACCCACTGCGCCACCAGGGGCTTATGTAAATAAGTGCTGTAATTGATTCAGAATACTGACCATATTATACTTAAGTAACTCCCCTGGTCTGATCCCATCCATCACAGCCTGATGGAAGCACAATTCACCCATGGTCCGATCACTGGTAGAATAGGCTGCCTTCTTCCCATTCAGCTGAAGCTTGGCAATTTTTTTTTTTTTTGCAGGGGGAGAGGGTTACGGCATAGCAATTTTACAATTGTGACTATGCAATCGTGAATATGGAAGTTATGGATGAGTAAATCTAGGTAAGTGTTCCATATGCACGATCTTTATTTAGTCATCATTGCAACACCATGGTCACAATTGTAATTCCCCATAACCAATTTAACTAAGCAGTTGATACAGATTATCAATGTAGTGTGCCTTCAAGTTGTTCTGACTTGTAACAATTCTAAGACAAACCTATCAACTGGTTTTCTGAGTGAGAGAGAGTGATTTGCCCTGTGAGTTTTCATGGTTGATTAGGATTCAAACCTTGTTCTTCGGAGCCATAGTCCAATGCTCAACCCAGTATACCATCCTGGCCCGATACAGAATCCTGACCACTTTTTCTCATGAAGACAACCTACATCCAAAGAAATTTGTCTGCTTCTCCAGATCAAGCTCTTAGCTAGGTTAAGCAGGACCTACCATCTTTTTTCTGGAGAATAGGGAGGCTCTAACTGTGGAACATAAATTTGGCTTATGGTAGTTAAGCATTTGTTGTGCTTTCTTGATAATGTAGTTCTGGCTTGCTAGGCATCAGGACCACATGCACATGGGAAAGAAAGGCATTATGAAAGGGATGTTCTCATGGCTTCAGTCCTCGAAGTATGATATTGTGTTTGTGGTGCACTGTGAGGGAGCCCAAGGAAAGATGCTGGGGAAGTTCTCTGGACCAGCTAACCATGCTAGACAACAACCTGTTTGCAATATTAAAAAAAAAACAAAACAAGTGCGGTTCCTGTATTATTGGTGCAATTTCAAATATTGATAATGATCAGCATATTAGCAAAACTTAGAACTATTTTGTGTCGATACATTTCTGTCTTCTTGCAGTAGCCACTATTTACCATTTTTGTTCCAAAAGCCATGGACAAGGGGAAAACACATAGGTTTTCTGCAATCTGAATGGGAAACTAGTCATCGGTTAATGAATCAACTAATCTTTCATATAATTTTTTGTGTGTGTGTGTCAGGAGTTACTTGAAAAACTGCAAGTCGCTTCTGGTGTGAGAGAACTGGACATCTGCAAGGACGTTGCACAGGGGAGCTTGGATGTTTTACCATCCTATGGGAGGTTTCACTCATGTCCCCGCATGGGAAGCTGGAGCTGACAGATGGGAGCTCACCCCGCTTCCGGTATTTGAACCACCAACCTTTCAATCAGTAGTCCTGCTGGCACAAGGGTTTAACCCATTGCGCCATCAGGACACACTGGGTTAACTGTCCAATCTATAATCAAACAATATGGTAGCAAAAACAAAACAAAAAATAAAACTCCACCTAGAACAGAAACTATTCTTATTTCAATTTCAAAAAAAAGTTTTTTGTTTTATTTTTTTTCTTATTTTGTAAGTCAGGAAAGCAGCATTTGGTAATAAAAAAATACATAATTTTAAATCTTCCAGTCCACTCAGAATATATTACCAGTTGTCACATGACAGATATGCTCTGCCTCTTCACCACACGCTTTAGGCAATAATTTGCGGCTTTGGGTTAATAACATTAGTCTTTTCAACTATTTACAAATATATTACACATCTTAAACCCTCCCAAGCAAAGAAATATTTCAATAATTAATCTGACGTTTCAGTAGCTCCTACATAACTTCAGTGTTCAAGAGGTCTATACACACAGTGCTGGAAGTCTGAATAATTTATATCTTTATATATATATATATGTATAAAAGGAAAGCATCGAAACTTTTGGAATATACATCTTTGACGTGTTGCTGTGGCTTCTATTGGACAGTCTTTATCGGAGGACAAGAATGAGATGTGATGTCATTGGACTTGTAGAGAGCTTCATCCAGATCCAAAGTCTGCTTGTTAACTTTCACCGTCATGCAGCCACGGTAGAAAGCGGTGACTGGAGTTGAAGTGACAGGAACATCTGTGGCGGTGGTGATTTTTTTTATAAAGAAAAGAGAAGGAAAACATCTTCAATGAACACTGCTGCCAAGTTCCTCATTCTGTTAAAATTTCAAAACAAAACAATTCAACATTCTTCCTTTCAGCCCTCTTGGGGTCTATGACTAACTGGCTAAAGAAACAACCAGGCTGCATAATTCAGAGAGATGCTTACAAGAAGGAACTAAGCGTGTTCCTTTTTCTGAATAAAAAGAATAAGAAATATTCTGAGTAGCAGACTTTCACTACTTCTTTTCCAAATTATCTTCCATTCCTTCTTTCCAAGGTCTTCTCTTTAATCCTTAAGTAAGTTCTAACACAAAGGCAAATTTACCCTCTTGGACCTTTCAACAAGATCTGTATTGATATATGTTAGCATTCTGTCGAGGAAAGGGGCAGAAGGTCAGGATTAACCATTCTATATTAAAGCACTGGGATGGCTTATATTGGAATGTATTTGTCAACATATTAACTCTGTGGGGAGCATTCTTATTCTGCTTTGCCATGCTCAATTCGGTCTGAATTGGCTACAACTCAGTACAAGCTGACTGTAGCTGCAGGCATGGACTGGCTCCCTGGGGGTTGGCAAATTCAAATATTCTCCTAGGGCAGTGTAATTTCAATACTGGATGACTGAATCTCAGGTGTGGCACTGGGGAATCACGAAAAAGGTCTCTTTTGCTGTTCTAAGAAGTATGCTGGCAGAGGGGTCAAATGTACACCATCTCAGAGTGTGCTATAGCAAATAACAACGTATTTGCTGGTTGCTAGTGGGAAAGCCAGCCTGTCAGACACAGAATATGAATAGAGCATATGGAAATGTTTCTCTGCCTTGCAATGATTAGGAGTCGACCCAAATGGTAAAATGCACTAAAGACAAGTTGCGTTAATGAGGCTTAAGGTAATATGTTGTTTATACATCTTTGACCAAAGCTTTGTTGGAAGTGGTAAAAATCTTGTAGGAGATGCCTACCAGTATCCATGTAAACACTGAAGCAGGAAGAGAGAGACAGGGTTTTAGTATAAGCCAATACATGAGGAAATCAGCTTATGTCAACATTATTATTACTACTACTACTACTATTACTATATAATCCACCTGCAATTTAATCTATAGAGAACCACTTTGGTAGCCATATATGCCCACATACACACTATGGTGACTGGCTGCATCTACACTGTAGAATCAATGCAGTTTGACACCACTTTAACTGCTCAGTGCTACAGAGAATGGGAGTTGTTGTTTGGTGTCTAAGGGTCTTGTAAAAGTGCAACTCCCATGATGCAAAAGCATGGGGTTGATCTGCATTCATTCTACAATGTAGATACACCCTGTGTCTGAACCAGATTCTGTAACCAAACCTGGGAATCAAAGTTTGATCTGCAGGAATTAAAAGTGAGATCTTTCACAGTGTAAAGAGAAATGTCACCTATTAATTCTTGCAGTTTAGGGCCCTGCTAAAGGCACAGCTGTAAGGACTGGGTCAGGCTGCACCGTAAGTGCAATGGAGCAAGCCTATTGTCATTTGTATTCTGGAGGTCAGGAAAGCCTTTCTATGCTAACATCATTCATTAAAGGGCACAAACAAAATGTTCCAGTTAAGACAGCAATCTTAACATACAATGATCCAAGGAAACCACAAGAAACTTTTCTTGCAGCAAAACTTGAAGACTTTCTCCACTGAAAACAATGTTTACACCCATAGTTTTAAGGAAGTATAACAACTTGGATTTATCAGTGTGATTAAAATATCACATATTTATTCCTAAGTCAAAACTATAATAAAAAAGCTAAAGGCCCCACTGATGTTAAAAACAGATTTGAAAGAAACTTTACCTAAAACAAAGATGAAAATTGAGAAGTGATGAGATAACCTGGTTTTTTAAAAAAATTAAGATGTGGCAATACACAGGAAAACTGAACTCACAAATGAATTGTGTAGTTTATCTCCCGCAGTAAAGACGATACCATTCTAACTCTTTGACATAGTACACTTTAATGGGCCAAAAAAGTAACATTTTAGTATAATCCTACTCCTCCACATTTAGTGCTAGCTAGTTTGGTATAGAATCATAGAGTCAGAAGACACCTTGTGGGCCAATCCCATTCTGCCAAGAAACAGGACAATCACATTTAAAGCACCCCCAACAGATGACCATTCAGCCTCTGTTTAAAAGCCTCCAAAGAAGGAACCTCCACCACACTCCCGGGCAGAGAGTTACACTGCTGAACAGCTCTCACTGTTAGAAAGTTCTTCCTAATGTTCAGGTGGAATCTCCTTTCTTGTAGTTTGAAGCCATTGTAGATTCTTGCATATAATTCACATATACATTTTTAAAACTAATTTCCACACTTATCTCCTACCCTAAAAGGTTTCCACAGCTTCTGTCCCCTAAAGGGGTATTTCAAAACTGGAACAGCTTTTTGTGGGAATGACTGCTCTTCCTCCATTTAAACAATAAAGACTGAATGTTCATCTGTTCATCTTTAGGGTTTTTGTGTGGGCTGGACAGAGTCAAACAGAATCTTGCACTTATCACAAAAACTGTCTGGTCAGAGAAAAATAGATGAACTGTATAAATACTTGGCTGGGGTGGGGTAAGAAACATTTGAGCAAAGGCAGACATCTGTTGGTATTTCCATTCCACTTCTCCAGTGCACAGAATTTATCAAGCAAATTAAGACTTATTTTTTCCTAAAAGCTTGATACTTCAAGATAGGATCATTTAGAAGACAAACTAAAGGGGTGGAAGGCGGACCATTAACTGAGAAAGTATTTTAACCTAAAAATACAAAAGTGCATCTGTACGTGTGCTTTATTAGAACAATCCCAATAATTCAATAGCAACAACACACGTTATGAAAAAGAATTATGGTGCTACATATTTAGTTTAACAATCTCCTTCCTTTCCCTCCTCAAATTCTGTGTTTTCCATGCAGCTTTACAACTAGCAAGCCTTTAATTCAATAAGTCTCAAAAGACTGTTCTACATAATAATGTATCCATCAATCTAAAATATACATGATGTAGGATGCTTGAATGAAGTTTTTTTTCGTGTCAGGAGCAACTGCAAGTTGCTTCTGTTGTGTGAAAATTGGCTATCTGCAAGGACATTGCTCAGAGGATGCCCAGATGTTTTATCATCCTGTGGGAAGCTTCTCTCATGTCCCTGCATGAGAAACTGGAGCTGACAGATGGGAGCTCCCCCTGTTCCTTAGATTTAAACCGCCAACCTTTCAGTCAGCAGTCTTGCTGGCACAAGGGTTTAACCCACTGTGCCACTGGAGGCTCCACTTAAATGGGTAAACTATGCATAAACTTTCATCAAGGAAGGCTTCATTTATACTCTTGTCTGGAAGGCTGGACACTGATAAAATCTTTTGCAGGCATAGATTTTGGCTATAGTTGTGGCAAAGGAGAGAGCCTATGTGTTGTTGAAGGCTTTCATAGTCAGAATCACTAGGTTGCTGTGAGTTTTCCGGGCTGTATGGCCATGTTCCACAAGTATTCTCTCCTGACTTTTCACCCACATCTATGGCAGGCATCCTCAGAGGTTGTGTGGTCTATGAAAAAGCCTATGTTCACTGAGTGCCTACAAGTCACATGAGAAGTAATCTAGTAATCTGTGATAGTATAATACTCTTGATCTGTATACAGCCAGGTGGGGCCATTTGAAAGATTAAACTTGGATATGAACATGGGGCATAGAACTTGTAATGTGGTCTAAAGAGAAATGTTAACTGAAAGGTAAGTTGGATTTTGGGGGGGGGGGGGTGGACAGTATAGGTTGCTGTAGTTAATATTTCTTTGGAGAGCAGCTGGAGTTACCTGCGTAGTAAATATAGGCTAGGGATTATGGGAAGGCATTGCTGTCCAATATGTCTTAGATGCCATATGAAAGATTGTGCACATACCACACAATTCAGTTTTTACTGTGCTTTAAGAAATGGCAGTTGGAAGGTCCGCATATATCCAATGATTGCAAAGCTAGGCTTGGAGACTAGTATTAATAGGTGGAATTAAGGCTGGATCTACACAGCCCTATCCCAGATACCTGCTTTGAATTGGATTATATGAGTCTCCAATGCCATATAATCTGGAATAAGAAGGTAATCTGGGATTAGATCCTGGTATATAGGGCAGTGTAGAAGGAGCCTTACTTTGCTAAGAATATCAAAGCATTGTTGAAATACTGCAGTTTTTTGCTGGGTGCTAAATAAGTTAACCATTCTGGGATGGTTATCTTATCTAGGACTCTTTACCTTTGCATTCCTTAATTCCTACTCGAAGCAGGTAAACTGGAAGAATGGTGCTCATTCTAAGCTGTCATATTAGCATGTTAGGGAGCCACTACTAGCTTTGGAAGGGACGCCTTTATATTGCATGCAATGCAGTATTTCTAAGTATATTTCTTTGCACCTTTATTCAGAAAATACAAACTGTAGATGGTTATACAATCATGTTCCTCACCTGCAACCCTGACATATTACCCGTGCATCTGAAATAAAAACATTGGAAGCAATATAGTATAATGCTCCCCAAACTGATGTAGGGTTAGGAAATGTGGGATCCTCCAAATGGTGCTGGTTTGCAAGTCCCTTCAACCTAGTCAAGCTGCCATGGCTGAAGCTGCAGCAGTTACAATCTTAAAATACTGGGAAGACCACATCTTGCCTACTCTAGCTCTATGGGAACAGATTTCTTTTTTAATTAAAACATTCAGATACATACGGGCCATGATCACCACCAGCAAAACAACAGAAACACATAACACTTGCAGGTTCAATCGCATTTCACTCTCTCATCTGTCAAAGAGGTACAGCCCTTCCATTGTGTTGAAATTTTTAAAGATCCCCACAAAACCCTGACTCGAAATAAGGGTTCTCCTCAGTCAATGTAGGGCAGAATGCCAATTTCTGCTGACTGCTTTTTGGGCAGCAAGTTCTATCAACTAATATCAAACAAACATCTATTTCTGGGTCACAATGGTGGATACTTGCCTGGGAGTCCTCCCACGTAGGTCTTGACTGATGACTGCAGGTAATCATCCAAGACAGACAATTTGTCTTCTAGCTCTGAATGGCTGAGTTCATTTTGTCCTGCAACCCCATCCATTGACAGCAATATCTGGCCCTTGCTGATGGAAATGTCAACCAAGTGTTCCTGCTCATCACAAATGCTTACTGCCAGTCTGCATACCACCGTATTCCTCACTGCCAAGACAATAAACTGAACAGCCACAAGAGGATAAGGTACAAGATGGAAAGTGGAACCTCTACACATTCATAAAACAAAAAAGTTCATTCTGGTACTTTAAAACACTTAAGACACTTAGGATTTTACTACTGATATATATATCAATAAAAACTGTGGATATCCAATGACTCTGTTGTCCTCTTTCACTGGAAGAGCTTTGAAAATAACAACAAGGCTATCCATTCACAAACATGAGTTAACGTTTAAATATATTCTCCACAATGTATCATTTGTATGAACCTGGATCAGACAAATTAATCTTAGCAGACTCCAGGATTTTCCTTCTTGATTAAGTATTTTCATGCTGTTTGCTATCTTTCTTTTGTTCTTTTGCAAACTTTCCAACAGTTTGCAAGCTGGCTCCTGCAAACCTCCATCCTAAACCATGATTGTCAACCAAAAGAACAATCCCCTCCCTAATCCCATTGCTGAATACATAAAACAGTGAAAGGCATAAACTGTAAAATAGCAACGAAACTGCAGTCAGATTAATTAACTTTTAAAGGAAATGAATGGGGTGAAAGAAAAAAGAAGTTATGGCTTTGTAGTCAGATCTTCTTGGTTTGCTCACTGGGTGTTAAATGACTAGCACTTTGGCCATGGGGAACTGAAACAGTTCAAAGTGATACCTCAGCATACCTACAATTGCAGTTACTGTCCCCAAACTCACTGCAAATGCACTTTTGTATTATTGCACCACCTGAAAACACTTTGAAAACCTATTCAAAGCATTTTCAGTTGCCAAAAAACAGGTGTTTCCTATATTTTGAAAAACACTTCTTTGACATGAGTTGAAGATTGTGTTGGAATGCTTCCATTCATGGCTAGAAAGTTTCAAACATGTGCTCGAAGTCAAGTGCAAATAATGTCCTTAGTCTCAAAGATGCTACAAGTCAGCAATATCTGGCCTTTGTATTCAACAGAGAGTTCAGACTATATAGATGACATTATACTCCCTTTCCATTGTCATTAATGAATAAAAAAATCCCATTCTTGTAGGAGAGGATGTGAACAGAGAGGAATTTTAATTCATAGGTGGCTATATTGCCCATAAATAAGATTTTTGGGAACAGGTATTCAAAATGATGGTGGGCAACTAGCTCCTGCCAACCTAGCAGTTTCAAAATATACAAGTGTGAGTAGATCAATAGGTACAGCTTCGGTGGGAAGGTAACCCACTCCATGCAGTCATGCTAGCCACATGACCTTGGAGACGTATACGGACAACACCGGCTCTTCGACTTAGAAATGGAGATGAGCACCATCCCCAAGAGTCAGACATGACTAGACTTCATGCCAAGGGGAAACTTTTACCTTTACCTTTAATGAACACTGGAATCATAAAAGTATAATTATGGAGTAATTACAGCTAAGGGATGAAAACATTCTAAGGAAGTGGGTCTTACATGGTAGAAAAGGCTATAGGAGCTAGAATTAAATGAACAGCTCAGTGTAAATCTCTTTGACAAATCTATTGAGGGCCTTTCTACACAGCCACATAACCCAGAATATCAAGGCAGATAATCCACAATATCTGCTTTGAACTGGTATTGCAAATAAACTAATAGAATAATCAATAGTGACTGGATTTTAATGCAAGTAGTTATTACATGCTCATTGAAATGCGGTGTAACACTGAGATGCAACTGAGGGCTGAATGCAGAAGTTGAGACAGTGTGACTTGACTAAGCTCAACCAGTGGGTTTCCATAGCTCATCAGAGACCTGAACTCTTGTCTCCAGAGTTGTAATCCAATCCTAACTGTATAATTACACCTGAATTGTGGTTTTGGTCTGCATGCATGAGTCCACTCCTACATATTATACCAAATGCAAGCTTTAAATAGTTATTTAATACATATGTATGTATTTACCTGTTGTTTTAGTTTCTTTGTGGAATGATAGTCAATAAGAGCTACTGACAATGGGACTGTTGCTTCTGTATTGACCAGAGCAAAGAGGACCCCAGTATCTGTGGCTGGACGAATCAGAATGTTTGCTTTCACTTCCCATTGTTTTCTGGTTTCATTGCTGTTAAGTGGTTGGGCTGCAGAAAGAAGACAAAAATCGAACAGTAAAGCAACAGATAAGTTTTCTGCAACAATAGCAAGTGTTTGCATAAATAAAAGAACTGCATTTTACACAATCAGAGACAAAATGTTTAAAAAAACTCAGTGGGTCCTACGGATTCTTGAGAGTGCAGTTCTAGTGTAAACTAGAACACCAAGGCCATGCATCCCATATTATTAGATGGCAGTCAGCTGTAGGCAAACGCTTCGGTACATCTCCATTCAGGTCATTACCATTTTATGTATAGAATGTGATGATCTGTGTAGAGACTTAAGACAATTAACTTGAACTTGTTAAAGGCAAAATAATCTTTAGGCCGCTGCCACCATTTAAAGTACTACACCGCAATGAGTCGCCATTAGGCTGAGAATTGCGGTATATAAGCGAAGTAAATAAATAAATAAATAAATAAAAATAAGTACTATGCTGAGGTGATTCTTTTAGAGAATCTTTTAAGTCTTCGCTGGCACCAAATGTAGAGAATCTGTTTCTCTAACTTGTTTAGAAATTCTTCTTTTTTTAGAGAGAGGCAATTGTTTGAACAAAGAACAATGTTGTTTATTTGTGTGAACTTTGACAAAACAGGTACTTAAGCTTAGCGGTTGCAATATTGAACAAAAGTGTGTGGTTCCTTAAAACAGTTCAATTCTTAAACACTTCTTGGTTTGACTTAAACTTTTGACTCCATCGGGAAAACTAGCAGACTTTCTCCTGACTAGATTCCTATAACTTCAAACAGACCGTTTCTCTAGGATCTGTTGCTCTTCAGTATTCCAGCTATTCTTTCTCTAATAGCTCTCTGAATACTTCTCTAATCTAACTTCTTCAAAACCCAGAGTTTATCTGACTCTCTCAAACACCAGAACCTATCTCTTCAACACCCAGAACCAAACTGCCTGTCAGAATTTAACACGCACACTTTCAAGGCTTTTTTTCTCTACCCTTTACCCCAAGCTCTGCCCACTTGCTCCTAGCCAATCACAAAGCTCTCCACATTTCCCTCCAGGCTGCTCCTAAGCTCCACCCCCTCTAGGAAATGGACACTCTAAGATGGCTGCCTCCTTGCACCATCTCTCCAAAATGGCTGCTGAACTTCCTGGGCCTACTTCCTGGGCTTTCCCTGGCCTAGAAAGGTAGGGAATTCATCACATTCTGCAATCAGGGGAAATCACAGGAGACTACAGATCCCAAAGTTTAACTAAACTGATAGTTTGTTTTTGAAATGCTTCAGTTCTATATTGTTTCTGGTGTTCTGCTTTAACTTATATTTAAAGAAAGAAAGTAATAAAATGCAGCCCATGTATCCAAGGGAGTATGTTCCTGAATGCATCAGGGAAACAGGAAAACATGTGTAATAGCAAACCCTAGAGAAATGAACAACTTTACTCAAAAGTTATCCTAGAGTTACCCTGGGTGACTTAGAAATTTCCTAGAGAGTTATCTTCTCTAGAAATGTGTTGGATCCTTCAATGTGATTCCATATTATTTTTGTGGCAGAAGCATATCATATAATCACTAGGAAAAGCCAGAAAAGTACTAGAGAGTTTGTATTTTGTTGGTATGGGACCCACAAGTACAAAGGTCATACTGCATAATCAGTGAGGATGCCTGTGGATGAAACATCAGGAGAGAATGCTTCTGGAACATGGCCATACAGCCCAGAAAACTCACAGCAACTCTGTTTAATATTGTGATATACAAAACAATTTTAAAATGTCAATTTCATCCGTTTCTCAGAAAATGCTATGGTCATGCTTTTTATCCAGGAGGGAGACTGTAATTGCCAGGATCTATCAACTACAGGCTCTTAGTTGTCACATGACTTCAATAGTTTTCATATGGTTTCAATATCAGCCTTGTTGTAAGAGTGATCTCATTTCAGGTCACCCAAGGGTTCCCACAAAAAAAAAAAACAAAAAAACACACTCCACTTTACCTGGGTTCTGTTCCCACTTTTTTTTTTAAGTTCCATGCTTTGTTGAGTGACCCTATACCAGTACTATTTTTATCCACATAACATTTTGAAAATGGGCACCTGGGCAAAAACATCTTTATTTTCAGAGCATGTTTTCTTATTATTATGGCACAAATCTAGCTGTAACAGAAACTCCTAAGTAGGAGGAAATTAAGAGATTTTTTTTCTAGTTTGTTTACTAGACAAATCAAGAAAACAGTATTAAAATTAGATAAGTGTCTTTCAGATCTTCGGTTATAACTAAATCTATTTATTTCATATATGAGTTAAAGAAGTTCATCTTTTATGTTAAAGCTCCTCAGTATTCCAGGCAATCTGCTGCAGTGTTTTTCTGAAAGAGTAGGCACCTATTTAAACTTGGAAGTGGATTTTATCCTTGCATATCTAAATGATGGTGGGAGTTAACCGCATGCATAGAATTTGTATGTTCTGTTTCTGTGGAAATGAAAATTTCTGGAGTTAATAATAATAAAATCCACATAAATCAAATTCATATATATGAAGGGCCAGCTGTAGTTTAAATGTTTAACTGCTAGACAGATCAGTGGTCTGATTTAGTCTAGGTTTCCTGTGTTCCTATGGAAACAAAACACAACAAAAACCCTCTTTTGTGGTTAGGTATTTGTTGTACAGAAATTAACTGCTGTACATTGAAAGCAATTTGCACAAATATCCTATATTTTAAGTTGTTTTGCCCTTTCAAATATATGAATATACCAATCAACTTTTGATTTAAAGTGTCAGGCTTTTCAGTTTCATCCTGTGGATAAGTTCTATGCCCAGGAGAGTCGGATTTCATTGCAACAGGCTGAGGAAGTTGGGAGCTTGAGCTCTTTCCTTGCTCCTTAAGAAGGCCAACATTTCTCCTGCTTCTTGGTTGCATTCCTGTGCCTTCTTCTTCTTCTTTCCTCCTTGTGAGTGACATTCAAATGGCATTGAATCTCTCATTCAACTTCCTTTGTATCATTTCAGCTTCAACACTTGAAGCATGTTGCAATTTGTAGGACTATTACATTCCCGTTTTCCAATCCACAAGGCATTAACTCAATTTCTTCCCTTCCCAAAATTAAAGCAGGCATGTTGCACACAGAGGCGGCCCTAGGTAATTTTCAACGGTAAGCATACAGTATTTTGGCACCCCTCCCCCCAACCAATCACTGATATATATTTTCTGTTCGTCGTGGGAGTTCTGTGTGCCATATTTGGTTCAATTCCATCATTGGTGGAGTTCAGAGTGCTCTTTGAGTGTAGGTGATCTATACATCCCAGTAACTACAACTCGCATATGTCAAGGTCTATTTTCCCCCAAGAGTGCCTCAAGAGCGCCCCTGGGCGAAATCAACTATACTGCAAATGCTTACTTTGCGTAATGGGTTGAGCCGCTCTTGGTTGCACAACAGAACAAAATTAAGCTCTTACCGTAACTGAGATTAAAGACAGCAAAACCATTGCCAGGATAGAAAGATCCTCTTCCTGCTACTGCAAAACATTGCATCTTATCATTCAGTTTCACCGTCTCTTGTATGGTCATATCGTCACCGTTCAACCAATTCCAGCCCCGCATGCAGCCATCAAGTCGGGGATTGATCTAACAAGACAAAGGAAACATACCTAGGATAAAGAGAGTTCTAGCGTAGCCCTCCTGCTTTCATCCCTTCCTTCTCTTTCCCCTCCTCAGACCTTTCCCCATTTCCTTTCTTCTCCTCTCCTCTTTTTCCTTCCTTCTTTCCTTCCTCTTTCCTTCTTTCCTTCCTTCCTTCCTTTCTCCCTCCCTGTCCCCTTTTCTCTCCCCTTTCTCCCTTCTCTAGCTCTAACAGGGCCCCACAATGTCTCCATGTCAACATGACTCTCTGTGGCTCTTTTCTTCCTTCCTCACTTCCCCACATACACAGGTGACATCATAGAGGGCCACTTTGCCCACAGGAACAGCTAGTCCTTCACCTAGGAACAGCCAAACCAACTGGCTTTGTGGTACAGACAGACATATTTTGACTTTTATATAGAGAAATAGGTTAATCTGGAGTGAAGTTGTTTTTTTTAAAGTTCACATTTAAAAGTTTTAAAGACTTTAAGAATATATGCTTTTTCACTACAGTAGAACATACAATGTTTCCAGTGAGCAAAAAGGGGTGCCTAGAGGTAGCTATTGCATCAACCTCTCCCTTTTTTCGTAATCATAATCATAAAAATAACTACAATATTGCCTGCCTCTCCTGTGGTTCGAGGTGGGGTACATCTATATAAATAAAAATGAAATGTTAGTTTGTGGGATTAACATAACTCAAAAAACACTGGATCAATTGACACCAAATTTGGACACAAGACACCTATCAGGTCAACAAGTGACCATTACTCATAAGAACACTGAAAAACACACCAGAAGAGACTTATAAAGCTAAAAAACAAAAATGCATTGCAATGCATGCACAAAACCACACACACACATATATGCAAACACACATATATACACATATATACACACATATATACACACATATATAAACACAAAACATATATACACAGAGTGGGCCACAGCAACACCTGGCAGGGGATGGCTAGTAATCATTTAAACAAGAGATGAAACACTATTAAAACACATACAACAAGATATTTTGTATTTATTTATTTACAGTATTTATATTCCGCCCTTCTCACCCCGCAGGGGACTCAGGGCGGATTACAGTGTACACATATATGGCAAACATTCAATGCCAATTTGACATACAACATATACAGACATACACAGAGGCTATTTAACTTTTTCTGGCCACCAGGGGAGCTATCACTTTCATCGTCCATCTGCGACACTGATGAAGTACTTCCGCATTACCCGCATGCTTTTTGCTGGAGTGCTTTGCTGGAGTCTTTTTTATGGCCTCATAAATTAGTTAATTTAGCCTCCCCACACAAGGTGGTACCTAATTTTTCTACTTGACAGATGCAACTGTCTTTTGGGTTGCAAAGGTCGACAACAGGCTACACAATTGGTTGGAAGCCCACTCCATCCCGGGCTGGCTTCGAACTCATGACCTTTTGGTCAGAGTGATCTTAATGCAGCTGACACTCAGCCAGCTGTGCCACAATCCCGGCGCAGATACACAAAGTTAAAATACAACTTTATTGAGTAGTTACAGCCAGCTGTAGTCATCACCACGGACACCAGCTTTTCTCTTTCTGATCACAAAACTGCTATGGCATATGCTGGCTAACACTGCAAGGCTGGCAAATGTGGCCAGTGGATAGCTCTTGGCCCCAGTGCAACTACACAGTCTTCTTCTTCTCCCCCACCCCCTCCCCGGCATTTTGGCTACTTTGGAAAAATTACTTTGGAGACTATCATTCCTAGAATTCCATAGCCAGAAGTAAATTTTCCAAGCTCTGTGGGATACAAAATAGGAAGATGCAGAGCTGAGAGTCCAACTGTCTGCTCAGAACCATAGAAGGGTTATGGCTATACCATTTATATGGTATAACCCTATGGCTATACCATTTCTCAGCATAACAAATGGTAAGTGAATACAAGATTAGATGTCTATGCGCAGAAATCCTATCTTCACATTTGTGAACAGTTTTATCCTAGTCCCAAGAAGAGTGACTGCATTGAACCAAATACTAAATGGATAGTCAACACTTTGATAAATCCCACAGATTCAATGCACCCACTCTAGTTGAGATTGACTACAAAACCAACTTACTTCAGGGGCAATTCATAAGTGGGTCATCGCTACAATGTGTATACAATTGACACCAGTACTTACAGGCTGAACAAGATCTTTGGTCTTAAAAGGAACGCCTCCCACAGTCAGATTTAGCTGATAGAGTCCTCTGTCCAAAGTAAACAGATCTCCAGAGACAGCTATCTTCATCACTGCATCCTGATTGACTTTTATAATCAAGGTTCTCTCCAGTTCTTCAACAGATATCTAAATGAAGAAGTTCAGAAGAAGATAGCAAGTCAAAAGATTTCTCTAATCCTTATTCCACAATGAATTTAAATGAATTCCCTTCTTTTATTTCTTTCTTTTTTATTACAAAGTTTAGCAATAGTTCCCAGTCCTTGAAAAAGTTTTTTTGGTGTTCTTTCTTTGTTCATCATGGCTAATTTGTTCATTTCTGCTACTTTAAAGACTTTAACAATCCATTCTTCTATTATTTGGAGGTCCGCCTTCTTCCAAAACTGTGTGTATAATATCCTTGCTGCTATTATCATGTAGTGCAATACTTTGTAGCTTAATGATTTTGTTTGTTCATTTGACATTCCCAATAAAAGTAGTTCAGGCTCCAATTTAACCTGTTAGAATCTGTGTAGGGAATTTATAAATAATAAATATCAGGCCAGAAGAAAGAAAAGAAAAAAATGTAATAGGAAAGAAGAATGGAATTATAGATGAATGTCTCCATACCAAGGGACGGGAAGTTACTAAATTGAGTGAGGTGGGAGGAGGGGAGAGTATAACCAAATACAAATATTATATAGATGTTGGGAAATATTGTATTGGTTCATCCATATATACATGTATATAGATTTTTTTCATTTTTTAATGAATATGTACATTGGAAATAAAAAGATTAATTTCTAAATAAATTCCCAAAATGTTGTTGAAGGCTTTCATGGTTGGAATCACTGGGTTGCTGCAAGCCTTCCAAGCTGTATGGCTATGTTCCAGAAGCCTTCTCTTCTGACGTTTCTCCCATATCTATGGGTTTTGAGGTCCGTTGGAAACTAGAAAAGTGAGGTTTATATATCTGTGGAATGTCCAGGGTGGGAGGAAGAACTCTTGTCTGCTAGAGGCAAGCGTGAATGTTGCAATTGGCCAGCTTGATTAGCATTGAATAGCTTTGCAGCTTCAAAGCCCGGCTGGTTGCTGCCTGGGGGATCCCTAGTTGGGAGGTGCTAGCTAGCCTTGATTGTTTCCTGTCAGGAATTCCCCTGTTTTCTGAGTGTTGTTCTTTATTTACTGTTTTGATTTTAGAGGGTTTTTTAAAATACTGGTAGCCAGATTTTGTTCATTTTCATGGTTTCCTCCTTTCTGTTGAAATTGTCCACATGCCAACAAGAAAAGCCAACAAGAAAAACACTGCAACTAAATGAACAACTTCTGGCAGAAAAAAAGATTAACAGGGATTAAAACTTTTGCCCAGTCTATCAGAAAAGCTGTTGTAATTACATCAAATTACAAAATAATTGCAGTCCAAATTTACTTCAAGTAAAATGTATTACAAGCACAGGATTGACACATTCTGTGTATGATAGCTTCATATATGATAAATGTATCACTTTTCCAATCAATGGACTAGAAGAATTTTATAAATGAAATATTGGCATTACATTGTAATGAGTTTTGTTCTGTTTTGATTAAAAACTCTTATTATGCAACCCTGAAATTCTGGTCTGACTGCTGCAGCTGACAAGCCCGTACATGTTAGCTGTGGTAGATATTTCCCTCTCAATTCATAACTATTTATAAACAAATACATTTAGACAACCCATCGTTTCACAAGCACAGTGCTCTGCAGCGCTCTAGGAAATGCCATGAGATCAAAAGTTAACTATTTCCTGAAGATTTATATTGATCATATATACACTGAAAAGTTACATAAGAGCAAACTTTACACTCAGGTTTTCTGAAATTTTACTGTTTGCTTCACCAGATTGAGAAAACTATTTATCTTGCTGAAAGTAAAGGAACTGAACCAGACATTGTTGGGTGTAACTGGAAATATTTGTAAAAGCACCACTGAGGATGTGTTTTATCCATTATTTTCCTCACAAAATAGGGAGTCTATCTGAAGAACACTTACATACTTAAAAACTGAGTATTTCCTAATTTTATGTTCACAAGCTTATAGTTTAGAAGGAGTTCAGTGTTTAACCCTTTACCCCGAAGTATCAGGGTATGGTCCCACAGAACTACAGTACACGGAATTTATTTTGTAGACAATATGTTCAGAATTGTGCTATTACTTTTTTTTCTAAAGTTAGCAAATAAGAACAAGTTTTAAAAGCAATAAGACAGCACTGCGTATTGAAACATTAAGTGTGTTGATTGCAAGATAGTCCTCTTGAGCTCATTTTTACGATGATAGGCATAGGCAACCACTGGTGAATTCACAAAGAATATTTTGTAAAATATAAAGACCATAAAATAAACATTTAGGATATGGGTAACCTAACTCATCGTTAATATTTATATATAATTTACAAATGAGCCTCAAAACAATATACAAAATGAAGCAAAGGATTCAACTGAACTAGACAGATGCACATAGACTTTATTTTCTTCCTTCCCATAGCAACTTTCCCAGGCTCTTAAAAATGCTACTCAGAGGACTGGATTATTTTGCTGAATGGGCTAAAATGTTATGTGTGTGCAGGGGGAGGATATCCCTGGAAATTGGCACTTTCTGTGTCTTGAAGTAAAACTGAACCTGGATCCAACAGTAAATAAAGTCAAAGCAAAGTTTGAAAGACATATTTAAATGAACAGTGCATTTTTTTCACTGCCCATCGAAAACTCAGTAAGGCTGGAGAAGAGATGACATAACAGTAATAGGGATAAGAACAGCAGCCTGTACTATACCCACTGTCTGCCACATTCCATGGTTGATCATGGGTCCACTGCTGGTCACACGGCCAATTCCATTGTACTTGAGTTGCAGCTCTAATCGTCCACCGCGCAAACCCAGGACTATCCACCGACTACCCTGATGGCCTCCAGCAAAGAAAAGGATGCCTTCAGCATCAAAGGTTCTGAACTCAAATTCAGCAACAAGTCTAATCACATAGGTAAACACAGAAAAAAAACACAGAGTTATACAATGCTTCAGAGAGAAAGAAAACAATTGCACTGACAGTCATTAATGAACCAAGGGAACTTATATTAATAACAATAAACTTAAGTTTTCTCTGTTTTAATGGGTCCACTATTGTAAGTACTATTGAAAAAATCTGGATCAAACTCAGGGTGTTTTCCAAACAACTAGCATTACATTCATAGTATTAATAAACATCACATAAATATATAGATGGTACAAAATCACACAATTAATTGAAGGCACAATTCTAGCCCTAAATTAATATCAATTAGTTTTATACATTTTTTGAAGATACCCACATAAACTTGCATGGCTCCTATCAAAGACAAAGAAGTCCCTCTCCATAATGACTAGCCCCAAAATAATGAGATCTTTCAATCAACCTCACACTTCTTCCTTTATTTACTGTCTGTTGAGGCAAACAAGTGCAGTCCAAAGTGTGATAAGGCATTGGGATGGGCAACCATATAAGCAAGTGAGGGAAGTACTCTGAAGTATATCTGTTAGTAGATGCAACATTGGGGAAACAAGGGAGGGCAGGAAAGACAATCTGATAGGAGGTATGAAGAAAGAGAAAAGAGGAAGGATGACAGACTGGGGTGGTGATGGAGCCCTTCTAGGTTCCATTCAACAACTATGAGTAGCGCTTGCAGTCCTGGAGAAAGAAAATTTGTTATGTCCCCTAAATCTTTTCACAAATTTTCATGTATTTAAGATACGTGAACAAAAGGAGAGCAGGACAGTATTGTTGGGTTTAACAGCAATGTCACTGGTCTAATTTCCTGGATGTCCATGCATTTAAAACTCTAGAAATGGGAAGCCAACATGCATATATGATTGAATGCTTTCAGACTTCCAAACTGGTGGAATATGTAACCATTCTTACTATCATTTTTTATCATAGCTCCAGGCTTCTTAGGACAATGTCCTGACTGAGTGCTAAATGAGAAAGACACCCTTTTTCCTGCCCATTTTTAATTTTTTAATCCAAGAAAGGAAAAACATGACTACACTCTAAGAAATCATGTGAACATTTGGAGAAGGAGGGCCCAAACCAAAGCAGACAGCTTTCTCTTTCCCTTTCCTCCCATGCTTTATATCAGCATTTAGTCCAAGATGAGTAAGGAAGCAAAGGCGTAGAGACTCAGGGCTCAGTACAGCAAACAAAACCCATTCCTGCTAAGCATTTTATGTGTTTCCAAACACAGATACTCCTCTAAAATCCAGTCTAAAGGATGATATAGTGTTATTGCCATGGGACAAATCAAGAACTTTGGTCCAAAAGCAAGGTGCTGGCTGCTGAAGCTGATGAACAACTGCACTGCATCCTGTCAGATCCCAAAAATCTGGAGGAAAGCAAGAGTCATAGCCATCTTGAACCCAGGCAAAGACCATAATGACCCAAAAAGCTATAGACCAATCTCCTTGTTATGCCATCTTTACAAAGTTCTGGAGAGACTAATTTTGCATAGAATTATGGGAAAAAATAGACCCATGCCTGATTCCACAGCAAGCTGGCTTCAGGAAAGGCAAAAGCTGCACATCGCAAGTGCTGAACCTGACTCAGCACATAGAAGATGGCTTTGAAAGGCAGCAGATCAAAGGAGCTGTCTTCATAGACCTGTCAGCGGCTTATGATACTGCAAACCACTGCCTCCTCCTGAGAAAAATGTTTAATATCACAAAGGACTACCACCTCACCTGCCTCATAGGAAACCTGCTACAAAACAGGACCTTTTTGTTGATTTTCAGGGCCAGAGAAGCAGATGGCGGGAACAGAAGAACGACCTGCCTCAGGGGGGCGTGCTTGCTCCATCCATGTTCAACATTTACACAAATGACCAGCCACTGCCAGAAGGGACAGAGAGTTTCATCTATGCTGATGATCGTGCCATTACTGCTCAAGCAGGGAGCTTTGAGATGGTTGAACAGAAGCTCTTCGAAGCTCTAGGTGCTCTTACTGCCTATTACAGGGAAAACCAGCTGTTTCCTAATCCATCTAAAACACAGACATGTGCTTTTCACCTTAAGAACAGACAAGCATCCCGAGCTCTGAGGATTATCTGGGAAGGAATACCACTGGAGCATTGCAGCACACCCAAATACTTGGGAGTTACCATGCTCTGACCTACAAGAAGCACTTGTAGGTCAGCGAAAATCAAGCGAAAAGTGGGCGCTAGAAACAATATCATACGAAAGCTGATTGGCACAACCTGAGGATCACAACCAGATACAGTGAAGACATCTGCCCTTGCGCTTTGCTACTCTGCTGCTGAGTACGCATGTCCAGTGTGGAACACATCTCACTACACTAAAACAGTAGAAGTGGCTCTTAATGAGACATGCCGCACAATCATGGGGTGTCTGCACCCTACACCACTGGAGAAATTACACTGTTTAGCCAGTATTGCACCACCTGACATCTGCCAGGAAGTAGCAGCCAATAGTGAAAGGACCAAGGTAGTGACATTGCCAGCTCATCCCCTGTTTGGGTATCAGCCAGCACGTCAATGACTTAAATCAAGAAATAGTTTTCTAAGATCTACAGAGACACTCGCTGGAACACCTCAGCAAGTGAGAGTCCAAAAGTGGCAGGCTCAAACCGAGAACCTCAATCAATGGCTGATACCAAATGAGAGACTCCCCCCTGAGCACACAGAAGACTGGGTGACTTGGAAGGCGCTGAACAGACTGCACTCTGGCACCATGAGATGTAGAACCAACTTAAGAAATGGGGCTACAAAGTGGAATCCACGACATGCGAGTGTGGAGAACAGCAAACTCAGGTGCTATGATGCAACCTGAGTCCTGCTACATGCACAATGGAGGACCTTCTTATAGTAACACCAGAGACACTCCAAGTGGCCAGCTACTGGTCAAAGGACATTTAATCAACTACCAAGCTTGCAAACTGTGTGTTTTGTTTGTTTGTTTGAAATGCAATACAACAGTTTGGCTTGCTCCTGACACGATAAATAAATAAATTGCCATGGGAAGACATTTCATTTTACTTTATCATGCATTTAGGGAAAAGAGGGAGACTATTCTCTTTTAATTAAAAATGGATTCTCACCGTGTTAGCTGTTTCCGTTTAAAACGTAGTTGGAAAACAGGTCTGCAACTGAACATTCTTCCAAGATAGAGAGATTTAATACTTTTTGCATCAGCAAAGGAGACACAAGGCAAAATATCCTGTGGGGTGGACCAAATACACAAACATACCACATTTAAATACATGCAAACGGCCAAAATAATTATTTATTTTATCTTCAAACAACAATTCAGCAGTACTACATCTACCTAAAGGAACAGCCTATATATGCAAAGCTGATTTTGCAGCAGGTATACAGAACCATCACCCTTTAAGATGTTCTGGACAAAAACTGTCACAATACCTCACCATTGGCTGTGCTTTTGGGGGACTGTGGCAACTGAAGTCTAGCATATGTGCATTAAAGCATGCTGGACACAACCATTTTTCTATTAGTAATGCTGCACAAAACATTTCATTGTTTAAGAGTCATCTGTTTCCATTCTTAGATTGGCACAGAAATAGCTGAGTAGGCACAGCTGAACAAGAACCAGGCATATTGTGATGTAGCTCAGTGACAGAGCATATGTTCCTCATACAGAAGGTCTCAGTTTCCATTACTGGCATTTCTGATGAAAAGCATCAGTTAAAAGGGGATGTGAAAGCATCTGAGAACCTGTGGAACTGCTGGCCAACAAATGAGAGAATACTGAATTAGACAAAACAACTCCATGACTTTATTAAAAGCAGAGGCCTGTTTACTGCTAAAGCCAACAAATTTATTTTTCTGGACTATAGCTTTCAGGAACCCCCCCCCCCCCCCCACCATCAATATGGCTAGAAGTTGTGGTTCAAAACATAACTTTTCTAAGCTCTAGGCCCTCCTACATGAAATTTGTTTTCCTCTGGAAATTAGTCAATAAATATTTCTTAATATGATCCCAGAAAGGGAAGTCCTGGATAAACACTTCTCTTATCCTCTGTATGCACACTTTATTTGAATAGCTGTTAATTTCTGAGAACTATTTTTAAATCAGTTACGGCTTAGGAATAGAAACTCAGCCAAACCATTCTTCTTTGCAGAAAGCTGATTCAGATTTCTGAGACAATATTCCTGTATTCTTCTCAATAGAGCTGTAGATTGGAAGCAATTCTGGAAAAAGTTGAAGTCAGTAGAAATGTACGACCCCAACTCTGCTTCAAAATCAATATTAACATAGGTAACGAAAATAATGTTAAATGCCTAGTTTGTCGATTATTTACTTTCACATGAATTTAAGTAAGTTTTCTTTTTCAAAAATTTTAATCACATGAATATATTTCATGTTGTATAAATCTAGTAGTCTGGTGATAATGAAATGCTTATTTACTACAGTTATTTTTATTACTATTAATAAGCATTTGCCATTTATGAAACAGTCAGTGTTGGAGTCAGAGTCAAACCATTAGAAAAAGACAGATTTCAGAGTCAAAGGATGCACTGACTCCATAGTTCTGCTTCTCAGAATGGAAAGTTTAAAAAACACTACCTCACACGTGTTCATGTCACTGGAAAGTTTAATTCCACCTCTTCCATTGCAGTGGCAGTTATAGCTCCCGGGTGTATTGACACATGTCTGCTCACAGAAGTTCTGTTCACATTCATCCACATCTATTTGCCACCAAAAGGGGGAAAAGAAAAGACACAAGTCCTTATATTCACCTTACAAGCATTTTAAACGATTCTTTTGAGTTTCATGTAATTTCAAACATTTTGAGAACATTAGCTCTATATCTTACAACAATAATTCAGTCCTGTAGGTATAGATAACAAATCATCTATTGCCAGCACTTCTAAGAAAGTTTACACTTAACAAATAGATAGATAGATAGATAGATAGATAGATAGATAGATAGATGATAGATAGATAGAATTGGCATCTTAATTACCAGCAATCTATAACAGACAGTGATAGAACTATTATAGCCCAAAAATGACAGCCTAATACCACAATCCTACACATATATAGTTAAAAGGTACTATTACTCATTTGAATTGGCTTGCTTCGCACATTCATCTCTATTTTATTATGCCTGAGCAAATAATTTTTCCTCTTAACAAGAAACAATGCAGCAAACATAGACTGAATAGTCAAGCAAGGCTATCATAATCTACTTAATTGAAATCATAACAACATTCATTCAGATTACAAGGCCAATGAGGTTCATAAATTTATTGTTACTCTGAGGGCACATCTACACTGACCATTGACTGCAAAGGGCTCCTGAATGAGTTCCCTAATGGCCAAACTATGTATGGAGCTGGTCCGAGGTAATGCAGGGATGGGCCACCTTAATGCAATCTTATCCTGCTTTAAGCAAGTCATGAATTTATTGTCGAAGGCTTTCATGGCTGGAATCACTAGGTTCTTGTGGGTTTTTTCGGGCTATAGAGCCATGTTCTAGAGGCATTTCTCCTGACGTTTCGCCTGCATCTATGGCAAGCATCCTCAGAGGTTGAGAAGGTTGAGAAGGACCTTCTCAACCTCTGAGGATGCTTGCCATAGATGCAGGCGAAACGTCAGGAGAAATGCCTTTAGAACATGGCTCTATAGCCCGAAAAAACCCACAAGAACCAAGTCATGAATTGCTCCAAATTCTGCATGACAATTCAGAGGAATCCACAAACTTGGACTTGTGGAAACAGTTCAGCTAATTCAGAGATGAAACAGGTAACAAGTGTTTACATGGCCATTTCATGTTCCCTGGGCTTGGACAGCCCTGGGACATGGGATGGCACTTACAGCCCCCTCGCCTGTCATCACTTTCAGTGATGTTGGCTAGTATGACAGAGTTATTGGAGAAGGGAGGATGAAGAGAAGGTGGAGGTTCCTCCTTCCCTCCCTCTCCCTGGCCAACTTCACTGAAGGTGACTAATGACAAGCAGGACCTATGTTACAGTCAGAGATATGGAGAATGGCAGGAGATGGTAAGGGTGGGTGTCAAGCAGTGCCACTGGAGTGTTGGGATTCCTTCTCATCTCTGCAGCAGCTGGGAGGATGGCTGTATAAACCATCCCAGTGCTGAACCAGCACACACCTCACCAGGTCGGCCCCACGATAACAGGTCAGTGTAAATCCATCTGAAAAGAGTCACACCATATCCGATGTAATCCAATTCTATGAATTAGGACAGAGGTTTCCAAACTATGGCCTATAGGCTGGATGCAGCCCCCCGAGATCATTTACTCAGTTCCTGCCATAAACAAATGAAGTAAGGCCAAATAATCTAAGGCAGTGATTATCACTTTTGGTGACTAAATAAGCGAAGCTAGTCCAAAACATTTTGCTGCCTTAGGAAGAGCTGCAACCTCCTACACACACTCCCCCAAATCAAAATGTAATTTTACTTCCAGGAAGGAAGAGAAGTATTTTTGAGATTTTCTGCATAGTGTACTAAGTAGTATCCAACTCCTAGTTCCTGCATTTACAGTGAAAACAGTGAATTTCCCTTTCTGGGGGAGATTTCTTTCACTTCCTATTGTCTCACGCCCATTCTTAACTATGAGTCATTTGTAAGTCAAATGTTCGTAACTCAGGGACTGCCTAAATTTTGTGAAAAGTAGATAACTTAAAACTCTGTGTACCAGTCTCACAGGAACAATGTTCATACTGTGAGTTCATACTGTTCAAAAATGAACAGAGCAACTAAAAATTTTCTGCCATTTCATGGTATCTCAATCCAGCCACTTGATGTGGCTCTTCTTCCTGTCTCAGCACAGGGCCCTCCAATTCCTACATTAACTCGCAACAGCTCACAAAATTACCATATTAATTGCCCTGCTGATTTCTAACCCGAAACCTTGCTGATTATAAACCTTGTGTCTTTTATCAAGTATGATTAAATTTAAAAAATCTATCTGCTTAAAGTAAGAACTCATGCACACAGGAGAATTAATGCAGTTTGAGACCACTAGCAATGCAATAAATGCATCGTGTTACTGTTAATGTTTTGCTTATTTTGCTTATGAGTTTTTGTATTGTTTTTGTATTATTGCTGTTATTGTTTATTGTTGTATTGTGGGCTCGGCCTCATGTAAGCTGCACTGAGTCCCTTGGGAGATGGTAGCGAGGTACAAATAAAATTATTATTATTATTATTATTATTATTATTATTATTATTATCATCTTGGGATTTGTAGTTTGGTGAGGCAACAGCACTTTTTGGCAGAGAAGGGTAATGACTTTGTAAAACTACCACTCCTAGTAGTCCATGGCATTGAGCCATAATGGTTAAAGTCATATCAAATGCTACATTGTATACACTCCCTAAGTTGTAGTCATTATGATAAATTGCTAACTGTAACTGTATGACTCCAGCTAATTTTATATGCTGTTCATGGTAACTATATGTAGTCTTCAGGTTCAAAGGTATCCTTCACCTGAATCAGAGCTTCGAATTGTTAAAACTTTCTTGCAATAGATGCATAGCCTAAGGGATCCTGAGATTTATAGTCCAATCCCGTCCCACTTCAAGAAGGCATCTGATTGGACACTGTAGGTGGATCAGATGGTCTGATCCACCAATCTTTTCAGGTTTACCATTATTTTTTAAATGTCACTATTCAAAAATGAGTTGCTCTCTAGAAGATTAAATAATGAGGAAATGAGCAGAACCTCTTTAGGGCCACAATCAAATATATCAAGTATTAGAATTATACTTACAAAAATAATCCCATCAACTAACCTTGGCAAACCTTTCTTACATCATCATACTTGTAGCCAGCATCGCAAACACACATATAAGAGCTTATCAAATTTTTACACTGAGCTTCTCCACAGATGTCTGCCGATACTGTGCATTCATCTATATCTGGGGGAAGGCGGGGAAGCAAAAGATAAGTCTTATCAACATCAGTCAGAATATCAACATTGCTTTAGCATCTGTTTCTCCCAAGTCACATCTAGGTCCACAGTCAATTCTCATTCCATTGTTGCAATTACAATTAAATAATAAAAGCAGGAAATGACTTCAGCTTTCCTCAAAATTGGATGGCTGACATCCTGTAAGTCAGAAGGCACTTCTGGACAAAAACAACAAAAGTATTAAAAGCAGAAACATTTCTTTCTAAATGTGAAAGGGAGGGGAATATAACTTTTGAATAAAAAGATTACGCGATCTTTTAATGCAGCATGGGCTTATATATTTATAGTTTCACTTGGAATTATATACCTGGATGTGTAGTTTCCCAGCTCCTTGGAGTACATTTTGAGAATATTTATTTATTTATTTATTTACTATTCTTGTATACCGCTGTATCTCAAGCCCGAGGGCGACTCACAGCGGTTTCCAGACAGTAAACAACAAAAGACAATAAAAACAGCAGCAATCAATATACCATAGCAGTTAAACTACACAATTCCATTACTAGCAATAACAACAACAATACACAGTTATCACAAAAACCCACCCCCGATCGCCTCGTCATCCAAAACGTGATCCAAATTCATCGTCCATTGTTCCGTTCCTATGTTCAAATTACCAGAATTGCACTAAATTACTCAAATGCCTGCACAAACATCCAGGTCTTCAACTTTCTACGGAATGTCATGAGAGATGGTGCCAGCCTAACATCTACAGGAAGGGCGTTCCACAGCCGAGGAGCCACCACCGAGAAGGCCCTATCTCTCGTCCCTGCCAACCGTGCTTGAGAGGCTGGCGGGATCGAGAGCAGGGCCTCCCCGGAAGATCTCAAAGTCCGGGTGGGTTCATAGGCCGAGATGCGGTCAGATAGGTATCTTGGGCCGGAACCGTTTAGGGCTTTATAGGCCAGTACCAACACCTTGAATTGGGCCCGGTAGCAAATCGGCAGCCAGTGGAGCTGGTGCAACAGGGGGGTTGTGTGCTCCCTGCGCTCCGCTCCTGTTAGAATCATGGCTGCCGCGCGTTGGACTAGTTGCAGCTTCCGGGCCGTCTTCAGGGGCAGCCCCACGTAGAGAGCGTTGCAGTAGTCTAAGCGGGATGTGACAAGAGCGTGTACCACCGTGGCCAAGTCAGACTTCCCAAGATACGGGCGCAGCTGGCGCACGAGCCTAAGCTGTGCGAATGCTCCCCTGGTCACCGCCGAAACCTGGGGTTCCAGGCTCAGCGATGAGTCCAGGGTCACACCCAAGCTGCGAACCTGTGTCTTCAAGGGGAGTGCGACCCCATCCAACACAGGCTGTAACCCTATACCCTGTTCGGCCTTGCGACTGACCAGGAGTACCTCTGTCTTGTCTGGATTCAATTTCAATTTGTTCGCCCTCATCCAGACCGTCACAGCAGCCAGGCACCGGTTCAGGACCTCGACAGCCTCCTTAGTAGCAGGTGGGAAGGAGTGACAGAGTTGGACATCATCTGCGTACAGGTGACACCGTACCCCGAAACTCCGGATGATCTCACCCAGCGGCTTCATGTAGATGTTAAACAGCATGGGGGACAGGATAGAACCCTGAGGAACCCCACAAGACAAAGGTTGTGGGGATGAACAGGTGTCCCCCAATAACACCTTCTGGGAACGACCCTCCAGAAATGACTGGAGCCACTGTAAAACAGTGCCTCCGAGACCCATTTCCGCAAGGCGCCCCAGAAGGATACCGTGGTCGACGGTATCGAAGGCCGCTGAGAGGTCCAGAAGCACCAACAGGGACACACTCCCCCTGTCGAGCTCCCGGCGCAGATCATCCACTAAGGCGACCAAGACTGTCTCAGTTCCATGCCCCGGTCTGAAACCAGACTGTGCCGGGTCCAGATAATCCGTGTCTCTCAAGAATACCTGGAGTTGTGAGGCCACCACGCTTTCCAGGACTTTGCCCAAAAAGGGGAGATTGGAAACAGGCCGAAAGTTGTCAAATTTAGTGGGGTCCAGTGATGGTTTCTTCAACAGCGGTTTTATTATAGCTTGTTTTAAGCTCGCTGGAATTTTGCCTTCCCGAAGGGAGGCATTAACCACCACCTCCACCCACTCAGCCAATCCCCCTCTGGCCTCTTTTAGAAGCCAGGATGGGCAGGGGTCTAGGATGGACGTGGTCGGCCTCATTCCTCCAAGTATCTTGTCCACATCCTCGGGCTTCACCAATTGAAATGAATCCATCAAAATAGGACAAGCAGGTGCTCTTGTTACATCCACAGAGACTGCATTTAACATGGTATCCAGACCAGAACGGATCAAAGCGACTTTGTCTGCGAAGAACCGAGCAAAAGCTTCACAGCGAGAGGTCGAGTTGTCAGGGATCCCACCTTGGGTGGTGGGATTCAAAAGGCCTCTGACAACTCGAAACAACTCAGCCGGACGGTTCTTTGCAGACGCAATAGTGGCCGCAAAGAACGCCTTCTTTGCGGCTTTTATTGCCGCGGCGTATGTCCTCAGAAAGGACACAAACCGTGTTCGATTTGGCTTGCACGGGTCCGAACGCCACACACTCTCTAGTTCCCTCTTCCTTCGCTTCATCACTGCCAGCTCCTCAGAATATGACACAATCCCTGTATTAGTGGACGATATGTTCCAAGACCCTCCATGGATACCTGAAACCCTGGAAAATAGTGAAACCCATGTTTTGACTATACTTGGGCTGAAACTGGAGGACCTAGAGAGGTCCGGAAACACTTTTGGGACAGTGATGGCAGAACTCTTTGGAACATGGGTAGATGAATCTGTGTATAAGAGGGTTATTCTGTTTATGGAACCTATATGCGTGAAACATAATTGCCTCTTTCCTGGTTCTGCTGAAAGAAATAATCCTGCCTGCAGAAGGATTCTTTCAGTAGAAGGAGTGGTTGCTTACCTGTAATCATGTTTCTTCGAGTGGTGATCTGTGAAATTAGTATATGTGGCACAATTACTACCACATGCACTCATTTCACAGATACCATGAAGGAGAAGGAGTGGTTGCTTACCTCTAATCATGTTACTTTCAAGTGGCAATCTGTAAAATTAGCACATGTGATAGTAATTGTACCACATGTGCTCATTTCACAGACACCATGAAGGAGGAACATCCTATCTCAGACATAGGCCCACTGTGGAACAATTAGTACTCCTTCTCCAATTTACCTTGCCAAGTTAGCAAAATAAAATGGGATCTTTTTGCAAAAATATCTAGATATAAATAAAACAAACAAATACTTAAACCTTTAAAAGCCTTCCGCCCAAATACAGAGGCTATTACAAAAGTTTTCTGTCTTACCTAGCTCCTGAGGACCTAGAAACATCCAGCACAGATTTGCCTCCTATCAAATATCATTAGTATTAACTGGCTGGACACAGTGAACAAATCAAATTCCCAGTCTTTGGCCTGTAGGGTGTAACAATTACAATACAAGATGTCCAGTCTGGGTTCAATTGAAATGCATAAACAAAGAATCACTGGACTGAAGCCTAGGAACAGCATCAATATTAAAGTGAATTCAATTTTTTGAGAATCAAGTTCTAATGGCCACCCAAGAAGCTCTCATACTGGGCCTTTGCCCTGACAACATACTATTCAGCGGTACATTGCATGACTAGAAGTATGTGATTTTGCCTCGGTCCTGCCTTAGCCCTACCCAGTGCTAGAATGCAGTTTCTAAGACTTTCCAAAATTGCAGTTCAAATCCCAGGTTGAAGCTTCCTCATTTATGTTACCAGATTTCCAAAAAGCAACTTGCAGTAGATAAGTGTTATATGGGAAAATATTCCCTCGCTGACTTGCCTTTCTGTTCTCTCTTTGCCTTTTAATTCAGCAATATTATCATGTGGAGGGAAGTGTTTCAGTATACAGGAGAAACAATTATTGCTGTTTGCAACATATTCTTTTTTAAAGTAAAAACCCTGAAGCCATTAACAGGAAAGAAATATCAATGTTTCAATTATTGGGCTACCATCACCTTGTCACTAGAACATTTCTTCAGCATTTATAATTAATACAGATTCTTACCAACACAAGAATGACTACAAAGATCCACAAGTTTCCAAATCTCACTGTATGTTATGCTTTAATACAATCCATTATAGCAAGACTAAAAACAAATGAATTACATCCCACTCTGCCAGGTCCTACTTCGCAGTTTCAGAGAGGCCAGGCAATTTGGCACAATCCAATGCAAAAATCTTTTGTGAATCATCACTTTGCTATGGTGCTGAATGGTTGTGGTGTCGCTACAGACATGCCTGGGCATGCATTCCTGGCATTTCATACTGAAATCTTAAACCATAGTGGTAAGAAAATAATAAGCATTAGCATCAGATCTGTTTAGCATGCTGTGGTAACATGCTAATAATGAAAGCAAAGTGTCTTATTGCATCTTCAAGATGAATACAGTTGTTGTTTGATATGCCATGGATCAGAGTCTGCTATATGAGATGCAAATTAATCTATTTCTGATAGTGTGTTCAAGATTCATTTCCTAATCTTGCAGAATAGCATGGCAACCCATTTATAATAGTGGAAGTAATGTTTATATAGCATTGATATGCCACTTTCCTTCATTCCAATGGCATTTGTCCAATAGGCCTGTGAATGTGCATGGAAGCTATGCAGAAAGATCTGTGGATTATTATCTCTAGTGAACAAAGGAAGCCCAGTTCTTCAGGATGCTTCAGGCAGTATATCTGATCCTTCTGTCTCACTCCTGCACAAGGCTGTGGGAATTCCCTGCCTCCTGCTTGGTTTGACATAAGTGCTCATTTGTCATTTTGTCCAAACCAGAAAACTATACAGTTTGTCTCAGATTAGAAAGGGTATCATCATATGCAGCACAAAACAGAGGGAGAAAAGCCAGATATTATTGTCAAAACAGTGTCAAATGCAGAGTCAAATAGTATCCAGAAATCTTGTAGATTGTTTCATGATTTACCTTCACAAGATTTATTGTCACTTTTCAGAGCATATCCATTGTAGCAAGAGCAACGATAGCTGCCTAGCTTGTTGTAGCAAATGTGTTTACAGCCACCATTCTGGCTTGAACATTCATTAATATCTGAAAATAGAGAAAAACTAACTGAGTATTCAAACTCATATCACATGAAGAAGAAAGTAACCCTCCTGTTCCTTCTTTCTCTTTCACTGATCACTAATTTCAATTTCCATGTCATGAATTCAAAAAATACATACTAATTTAATTAAGTCTGTTTTTATCCTCAATTTGGTATTATATTACAGGAGAAAAAGGAGAAAAAGTACAGGCATGAATCTTAGATGAAAAAAAACCACTTAATAAAGATCTTATGAGCAAACCATTATTGCACCTATTACAGGTCAGCCAATAAATTATTCCTAAGACCCTCCCAATTCACTTCCCCCGAGAAGTGTTTTTAAATAAGACAAAGCAATAAGCAATGTACAAATCAGATCTTTTCCAGCATGGCCTTCTGTTCTTCCTGTTGCAACATGTCGATCCACAAACTTGGATAACGGTACATCTTCCTCAGTATTGCCTTTACAATGACTGGCAATGATCCTTCAGATAGCAATCTTTTCCGAGCCATATCTGGAGACACCACAGAATTAACCCGTGACCTTTGTCTGCAAGGAACATACTTAGCTCTACTGCTGAGCTAAACCTTCTTGCATCTCATTTTTCAGGAAGAAAGAAACATGGAAAGCACAGGACCAGACTTACCTTTTTCACATCTGTCTCCATGCCAGCCAGGTTTGCATTGGCAGAGATACGCACCTTTCAGGTCTTCACATGATACAGTGCCATCTCCATGGCAGGGACTAGGTGAACATTGGTTTGGCAAATCTGGAGGGATCATAGATTATTGAAAACAATTATCCTTCTATTACCATATAGTCACAAAAGAAAAGTGGTGGCATTGCATCACCAGACAATGAAGGTTTGTCAGCCATTTGTCCAATTACAGAGAAAGTACACATCTGACAAACTAGTATCTGAAATCTCTGTCCTGGGGAATACTTCCTCTTGAAAGAAAAAAAATGCTGGGGGATGGTGCTCATCTCCATTTCTAAGCTGAAGAGTCAGCATTGTCCACAGATGCCTCCAAGGTCATGTGGTTGGCATGACTGCATGGAGCACCTTCCCTTCCTGTCAGAGCAGTGCCTATTGATCTATTCACATTTGCATGTTTTCAAACTGCTAGGTTATTAGAAGCTGGAGCTAACAGCGGGAGCTCACCCTACTCCCCGGATTCAAACTACCGACCTTTTGGTCAGTAAGTTCAGCAGCTCAGTGGTTTAACCCTCTATTGTGCTTCAGTATTTATATTTATATTTTAAATGTACTAAGCGTACCAAGTTCATATGAAACTGTGACTTTTATTTCCTGTGCTGGTCTATGACTGAAATAAATGCTTTGATTGATTGATTGATCTATTGCACCACCAGCCCCCCCTCCCCCAAACATCATAAACAGTCCAAATAACAGTCCTAACCAACAGTGAGTCCCCATTACTCTGCTATAATGCAGTCACTCAATCTTTTTCAGATTTTTTTAAAAATGTAAAACTAAAAATATTGCTTCTCCAGTAGATTGCTTTTTTTTGCTTTTAATAGCAAGATTTTCTGCTTTTTCTATCCTTTTTAAACACAAATCTCTCTTTAACATGAGAGTTTGATCCTTTGCAATGTCAAACTAAGACCCTTTTAAAAAGGGGGGAAGAGGATAGACAATTCACTCACTTGTGGGAATAGGATGAAAATGGTTAGTAATGGTGAGACCAGCAAATTCAGATGACCTGTGATAAGTAATGAATAATGAACACAGTGACTTGCAATGCTATAGGACTACAGGCCACGACCGCATGACCCCTTCCCTAGTGACAATTAACCACAGAAATGCTAGGGGACCTAGAGATTCCTAGAGCGAACCTATCAAATCTGTGTATTATCAAACTTGTGAAAATTAAACTTGAACAAATGGAGACCCCATTGTAGTATTTTAAGTACTAAGGGTCTGAAGTAGCATTTTCCATTTAAAAGGTGCTACAAGGGTTGGATTTTACACCTACGCTTGCCAGTTAAACAACTTATTAAATCAGTGGATGAAAGACAGAGTTGAAACGGGACATACATGATACTGAGCATACAACCTTTATAAAGGTGCAAAAAAGCCCAGTTAATTTATCCACATTTCACACTAAGCAGAGCAGCAGCTCCAAATGGACTCCACAAAAGCACATCTCCAGGTTATATATACCGGGCCCTAGGGAAGAACACCTGGAAGCTACAAGGCGTAGAGCTTTTTCGACCTATGCTCCAATTCTGTGGAACTCATTGCCTCTATACATTAGAGCAATGTTGGAGTTGCGACCTTTTGTAAAGGCACTCAAGACTTGGCTGTTTGGTTGTGCATTTAAGTAATCAGATCTAATTTGCCAAATAGTCACTGTTGAATGTTTTTATGTTGAATGTTTTTATATTGTTTAAATGATATTTTAGACTGTAAGTCGCTCGGAGCACCTTGGTGGAAAGCGACTAATTAAGAAATAAAGTGAAGTGAAGGTTACACAGAGATATGTATGCCTACACACACAAGTATATGGTATCACAGCCATTACCAGAGACGCAGTCTTCCAAATGACACTGCACTTATCTCTACTAGCATCTCTCACTCCTAGATATTCCACCGACCAAACAATTCTTCTAGTAACTCTGTATACTACCCCTTCCCCCTTCACGCTACTAGCCTCAAACCACAAAGCCTTTGTTTTAGTTAGTTCAAAGAAAGGACAGTTGTGCAGGAATACCCATCACAAGAGAGGGCGCAAAAGCCTAGGAGGGCGCAAAAGCCTAGCAAAATACGTTTCCACTACCAAAGGAGAAATCTAGTGAAAAATTATACACAAGAGAGGGCGCAAAAGCCTAGGAGAAAAGCAACCAAGTTGAAATGAAGAAGCAAAATACATTTCCAGTTTTTTTTTTGGTTCATGCAGTTTTTAGCTTTACATGAAAAATCTTGAGCCTTTAAACATTAATCATTATTCCCAGTGGCTAAGAACAATCCTTGCATTATGAGATCACAGCACTTTCCTTAACTAGACCTGATCCTTGCCCAGAGCAAAGACCTTGCTTGATTTTTATTCAGACTCTACTACAATGTTCCTGATTGCATTTACACATGATAAACCAAAATTCCAAAGAACATGCTGCTCAATCATTCCTATTTAGTTTTTCGTTAAAGCAGAAGCTACACAAAACCATGTCTGGGTCATTTCCTAATAGTAAACATGATCTCCCCTGGGTCTAAAATGTTGTAGCAGGAGCCAGTCAAAATAGTTCATGCAGTCCTTATGGCCATTTCTTTCTTCAAAAAATATCTTTTGTCTCTGGGCATCTGAGTGGCCCCTTGGACAGCACTTTCCCTATTTCTGTTATGGTTTTATGTATAATGCTATGTAAACAGGGAACAATCCTATGTCACAAAAATCCACAGTTTGGTCTTACAGAAGGCCCATGGCCAGGGCCGTAGCCAGAAAAAAAATTCGGGAGGGGTTGAAATTTGGGGGGGGGGTTGAAAATTTCACGGGGGGGGGGGTTTGAAACCTGCCTTCTAGCTCACGCTGAAGCAAAGAGCACAACAGGGGGCAGAGCAGCCTTCAATAGCCTGCAGCTCCGCCCCTGTCAACCACCTCCACCAAGTCTGGCCTCCTTAATGAGAGCATTCAACACCCCCCCCCCCAACTTGGTTGCTTCGCTACATCGGCTATTGCTGCAAGTAATGACAGTGTGAATAAATTGTCAATATTTGCTTGAGATAGTGCTTGCAGTTCTGGAGGGACTCTTAAGTTTTTGCATCTCATAGACTTAGCATGGGGATTTGGTTAACCAGTTAAAATTCATGAGTAAACCAGGTTTTTTTTAAAAAATCTGAAACATTTCGGGGGGGGGGGGTTGAACCCCTAAAACCACCCCCTCGCTACAGGCCTGCCCATGGCTACTTCAGTAACTGACCAAGCAGCCTGTATCATTGTAACCTTGGTTTGCAGTAATATCCATACAATTTCAAAATGCTCTTGCATTTCCAAGAAATATAGTCTCCTCAGCAGAATGCAACAAAAATAGAAACCCAAATGGGTATCAGGCCAGCAATTTGTTTGTCAGCAGATAGGGTTATCTTGGTTACTTTTGACATTGTGTTTCCTATTTTCTTACTAGAAGGAAAGATCTGGCAGCTACATCACGTGTATAAATATGTGAGGGGAAGTCATAGGGAGGAGGGCACAAGCTTGTTTTCTGCTGCCCTGGGGAGGCCCTCCTTTCACTGCCACCACCATCACAAGCACGGTTGGAGGGGATGAGAGAGAGGGCCTTCTCGGTGGTGGCCCCCCACCTCTGGAATGCCCTTCCTAGAGAAATAAGACAGGCCCCATCCCTCCCTTCCTTTCATAAGAGCCTGAAGATCTGGTGGTTTAAACAAGCCTTTGAGAACAACTAGTTCTAGCTCAGCCTCAGATACTGTTGAATACGGCCATATCTTTTTCTACCAATTACCCAGGTTACTTTCTCCTATTAGGCCCCGGAAATGAACAGCCATAGACTTTACCTATTACTGTTGTTTCCTGTTATAGCATTGTACCTAATTTCCCGGGTCCTCTACAAAATGCACTAGCCTTGGCTCGGCCTTTTAAATTGCCTTGAACATGCAGGATTATTTTAAATATATATGTGCTATTGTGATTTTTTATGTTAATATTGTCTTGTTAATTTTATGTTTATGTTGTTTACTTTGTATGTATTGATGATGTTACTTGGAAACCACTCTGAGTCCCCTCAGGGAGATAGAGTGGTATATAAATAAAGTTTTGTTGTTGCTGCCCTGGAGACTAGGATATGGAACAATGACTTCAAACTACAGGAAAGGAGATTCCACCTGAACACTAGGAAGAACTTCCTGACTGTGAGAGCTGTTCAGCAGTGGAACTCTCTGCCCCGGAGTGTGTTGGAGGCTCCTTCTTTAGAGGCTTTTAAACAGAGACTGGATGGCCACATGTCAGGGGTGCTTTGAATGTGATTTTCCTGCTTCTTGGCAGGAGGTTAGACTTGATGGCCTACGAGGTCTCTTCCAACTCAATGATTCTATGAAAAATCGAGAAATCTTGGACTTTTTTTTTTGCAGTAAACCGACAAAGTTTATTTCAGATTTTTTTGAGTGGAAAAAATTACTTAGCATTGTACTTTTTCCACTTCCTAGTTTTAAATGAATGCTTCTGTTTTTAAATCCTCTCCTGAAAATGTAAATTCCAGAAGCTGTTACACTCAAATTGCAGATGAACTATGCTTAGCATGACTTTCAATAATCCTGCTATATACTCATAAGCAAGGAAAAGTAACTGACAACACACAACTATGTAGTCCAACAGATATACCTCAATTTGACATGGTGACAGGGTTTGTGTGTATGCATGGAGACTGATAGTAGCTTCCTACAACTCTATAATATAGTCCAGTGGTTCTCAACCTTCTTAATGCCGCGACCCCTTAATACAGTTCCTCATGTTGTGGTGACCCCCAAGCAAAAAATTATTGTTATTGCTACTTCATATCTGCAACTTTGCTACTGTTATTATGTAAATATCTGATATGCAGGATGTATTTTCATCACTGGACCAAATTTGAATACTGGTGGGGTTGGGGGGATTAATTTTGTCATTTGGGAGTTGTAGTTGCTGGGATTTATAGTTCACCTACAATCAAAGAGCATTCTGAACTCCACCAACGATGGAACTGAACCAAATTTGGCACATGGAACTCCCAGGACCATCGGAAAACACTGGTTTAGCAGGCATTGAACTTGAGTTTGGGAGTTGTAGTTCACCTAGATCCAGAGAGCACTGTGGCCTCAAACAATGATAGATCTGGATCAAACTTGGCATGAATACTCAATATGCCCAAATGTGAACACAGATGGATTTTGGAGAAAATAGTCCTTGACATTTGGGAGTTGTAGTTGCTGGGATTTATAGTTCACCTATAATCAAGGGAATTATGAACCACACCAATGATAGAATTGGGTGAAACTTCCCACACAGAACCCCCATGACCAACAGAAAATGTTGTGTTTTCTGATGGTCTTTGGTGACCCCTCTAAAAACCCCTCGCGACCCCTCCAGGGGTCCCGACCCCCAGGTTGAGAACCACTGATATAGTCGAATGGTACTAGCCAAATGCAACAGCACCAAAGTTGAAAGAGGAATTGGCTTCTTCAAACAACTCTTCAATAGAACTTTTTGTCCTGGAATGTGATGAAGGCTCCTTCTTTGGAGGCTTTTAAGCAGAGGCTGGATGGCCATCTGTCAGGGGTGCTTTGAATGCAATTTTCCTGCTTCTTGGCAGTGTGTTGGACTGGATAGCCCTCGAGGTCTCTTCCAACACAATGATCCCATGATTCTAATGTTGTATTATAAATTCCCACACTGTATAATGGGGAACAGTTCCGCATATCACAGGCTCCAGCTATTAGATGGGGGCTACGGTTAATAATAGTTTCTTACAGTAATTCTGTAATGAGAAAAATTAGCATTTCCCCCACTCTTGAAAGGCAACATTGTATCCCAGAGACATGCATCACAATTCAACACAATGTTTATGTTACCTAGATGGAGACAGACTGTCGAACAGTTACATCACACAACAAATAAATGTTTCACACTAATTTATTTCCCTAATGCTGCCTTGGTGTTTCAATCATTTGAAATCACCACACTGTCAAGTTTAAGACAGTCAATGCAACTAAATATCTCTGCTGCAGTCAAGGTAAGTCAAATTAAGCTATTATTTCCAACTTGTCAAAGCCAGCACTTACTTGAATAATGCTGTGTTGTAATGTGTTTTTCGCATGGGAAAACAGTGCATGATTATGCTTTACTAACAGTGCAAAAATGAAATGTCAAATAAAAAAGAAAGCATGTTATGTGACTTTTGCTGTTTCCTCTAGGTCATAAATGTAGCAAGGAACCAACACTCTTCAACCCAACTAATGATCATCCTGCTGGCCTCCAAGGATTTGTTTTGAGACATGAATAATAACATACGTCAGTTTTAAGAATTCTGGCAAAAAAGCACAAGCAAATGAGCAATCCCATTCTTACTATTTCTACAATTTCTAAATCAGGTCTTCAGAACTTATTTCCCTGATATAACCTTGGATACAAAATGCAAGGTTTCTATTCTAGATCCCACATCATCTCCAAATGAATAGGTTGCCTTTAGCAATGTGAATATAAGATGGAAAGGGGAGAGTAGAGCTGAGCAGCGCTTCCCATGCTATTTAATGTGGGGAATTAGTACTTACTTTTCTTTCCCCCAGTTGGCCAGGGACTGACAAAACATTTATGTCCATTGGCAAGAATTATTTCTTTCTTTCCTGGAAACTAACCAGGATTGCTTCTAGACTGGCACCAGGCCAGTGCCTCCCACTTTGAGCTACACTGGAGTAGAAGGAGTCCACTTTATCAGACACTTAATGGGTAATATTCAGTTCTCCAGTTTTGATGCCTGTACTCATGATGATGGGGAATGGTGATGTTGAAAGTGGGGCTGAATGGCAATAAAATGCAAATATTACCTTCAGCAACCACTCTTTCCACCTAAATGTTCATGCTTTTCTTACAAAGTAGCCACTTTAAAGTTTAAAAAGCTAACACTAATTTAGTCAAGTAAATAAACTGATGTTTTATTTTATATCTTTTACATGAGGAAACAAAGCGTATCACTGATGTATCACAGATGGGCCACTTTCTTTGTACAATTCTCCATAATACTGAACACGAGAGCAAGTGGGCATGAGATGAAAAGTCAGTGAAAATAGAAATAGGAAAATCATACTGAATATAATTTGTTTTCATGGTACTTTACTCCCACTATACTCCCAAAGAGACCTTCTGTAGGCTTTGAAATAGTTTTTCAAACTCTGGATGAGGAGTGGAGAGGGATAGGGAGATCAAAGCAAAGTTTCATTATGGGTTTCTAATAGCTTAGTAACAAGAAATAATTTAACTCCTTTCAATGGAAAAGAAAGGCCAAATGAAAAGTCAAGTTCAAAGTAATCTATATATTTTATTCAAATCTTTTCACCCAAATGCAAATCTCCTATAATGTCGAATTAGAAAATTATAAATTATATGCTAATCAAAAGTGACAGGAATAGAACCAAATTCAAGCAGTGTTGTTATAAAATAGCATGAATCTGTTGAATTATACTGAAGCTGAGCCATACAATAGTGCAACTGAAAGGGGTTTTTTCTTGTTAGGAGGTTTGAAAAAGTAAAAAAGGAATTTCCATCCTTGCTTTCTTCCTTTAGCTCCTCAGTTATATCACAGAGTTGCAAATCTCTGGCAGGAGAGGGATGCATGCTGTTTGGGGGTGACATTCTCCATTATTCCCAAGGCTGTAATTTTGGGATTTTAAGTTTTATCTGATTTTTTAAGTAACCTTAAATTGAGAAATTGCTTTAAGGAAATTATTTTTAACATTATGGAGCAACAGAAGTGCAGGAGGATGGAATTACAAGGTTATGTGGAAGTACAAATTAAGGAACATGAATTGGCGATGTGTTGCAGTTGTAAAATGCAGAGATGTGAACAGCAGACACTCTCATCTCAGTATGTTTCCACTTTTGGTGATCATGTGGTAGTCTTGGAATAGCGGCATTGTAAGAAAAAGTCCCAATAGGAGTACTGGCAACATCACATTGAGCCATGATAGTTACAGTGGTGTGAAATTGCATTGTTTCTACAGTGTGTATGTGCCCTAAGAGTTGTTGGAACTTATCTTGTAAGAATGAACCATTTATTTGACACAATGCAAACCTTCCATGTTTTCTGAAGCAGAACAAATTAGAAGGAAAAGTGTAAATGTAGCTAAATGTGGACTAGAATGAATTCTCATTTATACCAGATTAAAAAGCAACGTATTTTATCTATATTTTTCTAATATGAAATATGAAAACAGCTTACTATGTACACATGTATGGAAATCTGGATTTCTTGAGTATGGCGACCCATACCTCCGAATACATGCTGAAAAATAAAACACAAAAATATTAAGCTAGCAATCAAAAACAAGATAACCTCTAATCTCCCAGTATAAAATTATTTTAATTTAGGAAAACACTAGGACTCAAATATGTGTTTTGCAGTATCACTCTTCTACCAAATGTTGAAATATCCCAAGGTGCTGAACAGCATTTGGATAAACACAACAGTTTCCTTAAGATTGACTTGTTTTTATGTTTAAATGCAGTAGTATTACCAATTTGGAAGGAGTAGGCCTATATCTTACTATTCCTATTTAGGGATACTCAAGTGACCACATTAAAAAAGTTTGCTACAAGACATATAATATCTTATGAAAATACATTTCTCTACCAGGAAGTAAAGTTCAAGCAAAATATCCTGGAGCTGAAATCAAGGTAAAATCAAACCGTTTCTCAAATTAGAACGTTTAAGACCTTGGATACATGTATATTGTGCATTTCTGTGCATTTTAAAAATATGGACAGCATTTGTTTTTGCTGCAATCCAGTGGATTCTTTTATAATTATGTAAATTGCAACTTACATAGTTACTATAATTGGATTTTTAACATCCTTCCCATCCATTCCCAACAAAGTGAGTTTCTTACAAAGCAAGCTGCTTTCCATTTACACCCTTTCTCCAGTTTACAAAACATTTCATAATTTTAAAAATGGCTAATAAAGGGAGGCAGGATGTAAGAGAGACACTAGTAAGCCTCACTTGAGGGGAACAGAAACTAAAATAAACTAAAACTACAAAGACAGAACTTTTGGCACACACATTGAATTACAGCCACTTGTTATTCAAGTGTGTGTTGACTTTATTTTTGAGAGAAGCAATGTATCCTGTTTAAACATAGACAAATGCATATTCCTATGCTGCACTTATGCGACAGAGCTCCTAAAAAAGGACAACATAATAGCAGTACCAAGTATTTAAAGTGTATAACTATAACTCACCCAAGTATTTCGGGTAAAAATAGTCCTGTGGGAGGAAAAAAGCAAACAGAATTACCAAAAAATCTTTTTAATCTACAGTTTTATGAATATTAAAATAGATATATTTTGAGGACTGCAGACTTGGGCAGTGTGGAGTTGAATTCCAACAATTTGGGCATTTATGACTCACGCTGATGGAACAGAGGCAAAGTATCTCTTCTTCCTCAATTCATTCTGATGTTATTCTCCACAGATATACAAGAGTATTTCATGCATATATAGCCAGACTCATGCTGATCATTCATGAGATCTATTGGCTAAGAAGGCTCTAGTTGCCCATGTGAAAATGAAATCTTCCTGGGTTGAAAATCTTGTGCAGACCCAGAAAACCTGGTGGTAGTAGGCAGTTCAGTAAGGCCAGGCTGAAGAGGGTAAGGATCCTGGTTGCCGGCCTCCACATAGCAGTCTTTGCCATGGAAGGAAGGTGAGAAGAGTATGAAAAACATGGCTATAGTAGCTCCACACTGAGAGAAAGGGAGGCAAAGCTATAGTCTTTAATATCAGTTGGAACGAAACTACAGGGGATGCAGGACTGGGAAATCCCACCTCTTATTGTCTGGCAAAGATTCAAAGCAATAGCAATAGCTTTTCTTCTTTTTCTTTTTTCCTTTTCTCTTCTTCTTCTCCCCCTTTTTATTTTATAAATTTTATAAATCCATTTTGAAAAACTCAATAAAGATCATTTATATATAAAAAAGCAATAGCCAGTCCCTTTACAACTCTGACAACTTCCTTCTCAGTAGAAGCATGGTTAGACCCGCTAGAAGAGTTTCCACCATCGCTGTCTTGTTTTTCCTGCTTCCATGGCAGGAAGGGTGTAAGAAGAAATAGGTGCATGTGTGTATGAGAGGGAGCCATCACCACTGAAGAGCTTCATCATGATTGACCTTTAAAAAAGACTGGACCTTGCAGGAGCAAGAGCAGCAAAAAGAGAAACATTTCTATGGGTGGATCTAGACAGCCCCTTTATTGCAGAAACTTCTGCAATAAAAAGAGGGCTGTCCAGACAACGTTCTGGACAACCCTGGTTTGTGGTGAATTAATTTGATTAATTAGTTTGCCTTTGCTTTCCTCTAAAACTGAGAGTGTAACTTGCCCCTGGTCACCCAGTTGATTTCCATGGACAAGCAAGGATTCGAGGCTTTGTCTCCAGAGTCGCAGTCCAGTGCTCAAATAATTACACTAGGCTGGCTTTTCCCATACCAAATCTTAAATTGGAGTATCAAACTGGAACTCACACATACACAAACCTCAGACTGGTTACTAACATCGCCATCAGATGCCCCATAAAACTGACAGTATAAAACCACAGATCAAGCAAGCAATTACATTTAAACTATTCTGTCTTACAAGGAACTTTGGACAGAGAGAAGCCTTATCTTCCAGACAGAGTTCCTCTCAGTAGCTGGGAGCCATTGTAATAGAAGCTTACTCTCAAAACATTCATAGAAACAATAGCTAAGCCCAATAAATACTTCAAATATACCTTGAACCTTACATATACTTTCTAACAAACCAGAGAGATTAAGAACAACAGACCAGACATGAATATTATCACCAAATAGTATGTAATTTGTTGTTTTGGGATCTACTTGAAACTTCTAGCTTTCAATGTCTGCTAAGTAGATTTATGGTCAGAGAAGAGAAGGAAAAGAATGGTAAATGAGGTATGTACACAAGGTTGGCAGTTTGCAAAAGTAAAGGAAATTACATGTTGGGAAGGAAGTGAGTACACACACACTATAGTGGCAAAGTACAGCAGGATGGGAATATGGGAAGGACTTCCTCAGGGTGTCAAATGGGACAGGGAGCTCCAAGGCAAAGGTCATGAGAAATGCCCACAAATGAAGGTCAAAACAATTCTAAATTTATCTGTACTTGAAATATTTATGGTGCCTGATTATTTCTCATTTTATTAACCATGCTATACTGAATCCATAACCCATTTCAATAAGAATAGTTCTATATAGCCAAATGGAAAGCTCTGAAGGCATTAGTCTGAAGCTTGAAATATCTATAGCAAAATGTAAGCAGTTTTGTTTTCATTAGGGTGGGGAAGAATAAAAAATGGGCTAGAAACAGCCTCTTCCTTCAAATGACATTTCCATTTATTGAGGTTTCTGAAGCTCAGTGGATTGGCTTTCTGTTCAGCTTATACCGAACGGATTAAACTGGCAGCAAGAGCAAATTACATTTTATGCAAAAAAAGTTAGTTAAGGTCAAGGTGGCAACATCACACAGAACAAAGGTGGTTTTGTCCTATAGATAAACCAAATTATCTTCTTTGATGCAAGAGGAATATTCAGCAAGATTCCTTTCATATGTTATGACATGAAACTAAATGTTTATACATCTTTTGCTAGACCAAATCCTTAGAAGTAAATCAAAATGATCAACTATAAAAATAAACTGAAAGCTTTTTCTGTCTTTTGATAAGAGGTCATTCAGAACAACACTACAATTAATAGAACAGCTTTTATAAATATAAATATTAACTCACACATGGTATGGGAGATTAGGAACTGATTTCAAAAGATTTTAGAGGAAACAGGAGAAGCTTACCAGCTTGACCTTGAAGCTTCACAACCATTTGTATCACCAGACTACCTTCTTATTTACAATAGTATGATCTACATTTGTAGGTTATTCATCTGGATCACTAAAACGTCACAAACATAGCAGATTTTCAAGTTCAGTAGAACACGTCAGGTTTAGTTAGTACAAAATTCAGAGGAGTAGGGAGGGAATTTTAAAAATCCGCCAATGCAGCCAGATCACAAAAGTGCTCCAAACTTCCAATAGAGAAGTAAGGAAGAGGAATTCTATGAAGTATTGCTGTGAACACTCATTTCTGTTTGTGTAAATTGTACTCTTAATTGCTGAAGCAATGCACTTAAGTGATACTTCAAATCACAGTTTAGTGAAAAGCATACTGTATACTACGTACACTACGCTCTTGATGGTCTGATTCAAACCACAGATTACTGAAGCGTATGCTGTAAGAAAAATGGCCCATTAATGTACACCTATTATTACAACACCATACCAAAATTAGGATTATATTTATGGACATTCATTTTCCATCAAGCTTATGTCATTATTGTCCTTATCTTTTTTCTCAGTCAGAAAGAAAACAAGAGCTTTCATAAATCCATATGAAGATTATATATGACATGCAGCAAAAAAGAAAAAAAAGTCAAAATTTATTTCTGTATGCCATTCTTCCCAGCCCCCTGCTTTCAAGATGTGACCAGTTGCTGTATGTGGATACTGGGAGACACTTGGAGGGCTCTGGGTTGGAGAAGTGTGTGCTGAATAGTCATCCTCAGGCTAGTATGCAATCCGCCTTCAGTTTACAAGCCAGCTCTCTATGGTTGTATTTTAAGACGATGTTAAAATAAATCTTAACAAGTAAACAGATAAATTCATTATTCAAACTCTATAACATCAAGGTATAAGGTTGCCAATAATTCCTTGTTGTGGGATAAAACTTGCCATAGGAAATATAATGAAATTCTTTTAGTTAGAACCACAACAAACAAAACAATGATGTGTTTTTACAATGGCAGGAAAGTTTTTTAAAAAACAGAGTCAGTTTTATTTACACAAAACTGTACTCAACATCACCTGTTAAGTACCAACCCTGACCAGAATCACATGGCTTTTGATCTCTGCAGGCATACATTCTCCCACAATTAATATCTAAACTCCTATTAAGATAAATTACTGCATTTCACACATGACTAAAGATTATAACATTTTTTCTGCACATATTGCCAGAAAAATCCACCATTCTACTTCTGCTTCATCTCTTTGTTTCCGTTCTTACACCATGTTACAAGTACGTTCTGTGCAAGGGAAATGATATTTTCTTACATCTCTAGCTAATTGCTTATAGAGGGCATTTGTATCCAAATTAAATATTGTGACTCCCCAAATCATATATCCAACCTCGGGGACAAGACGACACAACTTCGTACCAGGCCTGGAGTACATGACATGCTGATAATTCTCAATGTATATAAGGGTTAATAGAGATCTGAAGGTTTGGACCCTTTAAACTTTGAACTATCCCCTAATAATAATAATAATCATCATCATCATCATCTTTATTTGTAACCTGCTCCATCTTCCCGAGGGGACTCAGACCAGTTTCCAGGCAGAAAGTGGCAAACATTCAATGCCATAATAAACAAACAAATCAAATCAAAACAATAAATAAATAAAATAGTATCAATACAGACTTATAATACCTAACCAAACAAAACAAATAAACCTCGTCACACACATTTACATAATGATAAGATCTAAACAGTTAAAGTGCCTTAAAAGTATAAAATTGTGATGAAGATGTCGTATAAAATAATGATGTATAACAACCAACAGCACTAGGGTGGGTTTCCAGTATCCAAACAAGGTTACATATTAAGATGTTCTAGTCCTCCTCCTCTCCATAGGCTAGGGTGCAAAGATGGGTTTTAAAGGTTTTTTTTAAAGGAAAGGAGAGAGGGAGCCATTTTTATTTCTTTGAGGAGTTCCAGAGGTGGGGGAGGATCATGGAGAAGCCCCCTCTTTCATCCCCACCAACTGTGCTTGAGACAGGGGTGGGACTGAGAGCAGGTCCTCCTCTGCTGACCGCAGTGCCAGTGTTGGTTTATATGCGGAGATGTGGTTAGTTAAATAGCCTGGGCCCGAACCATTTAGGGCTTTATAGGCAATAACTAGCACTTTGTATTTAGCCTGGAAGTAGGCAGCCAGTGGAGCTGCCGCAATAGGGGAGTAGTTCTCTTACTATAATAAAGTTTATACCCTGCCACCATCTCCCCAAAGGGGACTCAGGGCAGCTGACATGAGGCCAAGCCCAGAATTACAGTACAACAAAATAAAATACATAAACAGCAAATAATAACATCAAAATAAAATACATAACATAACAGAAAATGAAATAAACAGATGCAAAATATTGTGACGAAGACATAAAATAAA